CAGAGTAAATTCAGTAGTGGAGGTCTTTGAATTGTAAAATGTCCCAAGAGGTCCTGGGGTATAAAAGGGTTGGGAGCCACTGTTTGTTGGATATGTACGTGTAGAACATTTATATCTAAGGTCTTCGGCTATTGACATTCAATAAAGTCACGGGTCTTAGAAAACGTCGAAATAAGGTAATCCACCTAACAAAACCATTAGCAAAAGAGGGGGGGGGGTGGAATGACAATAAAATGAAATGGGGTTTAACGTCCTACTGTTCTGCTCCAAACTGGGCTAATGAAGACGGGCATACGCCATACAGTGTGCCATGGGGCAAATTTTGCCCGGACAGCGGCACCACGGCCTACTCTTATATCGAATTCCAACTGTCATGGGATCTTAAACGTACACGCCAATGTGTACATGGGACCTCGTTTTTTCGTACAATCCGAACGACTAGACAGCTGTCCTTGTCAGGCCCTCCGTCCTGCATCACTGACAAGGGGGAACCACGCCGGAAAATCTGGATGAACTCTCTCGGCCAATGCAGGGATCGAACATCCGACCTCTAGGCTAGCGAGCCAGGGGGTGGGGGCATGAATTAAAAACAATGGATTTAACCATTTGTCCTAGTTTGGAAGAAAGGTTTCTGCAACAGAGCTATTTATCTTAATCCACCCTTACATTATTGATAAATAAAAAAAATAATATATAACATTTTTACGAGATAAAGTGTCCTGTTAATGAACAAAGGCTTTGGTATAAAACGTATGTTAGTGATTTTGTTACATTATAAAGTCTCTGGCCTTCAAATTATGATGTAGTGGCTGACAAAATGATTTTGCTAACTTATCTGTCATTTGACAAATTGTCTCAGATTTAGGGAGGGCCCGGCTAATCAAAATTATCAACAACAATTAAAAGCTAGTTAACTTGGTAATTAATGTCATACAGTATGTCTTTCTATTAATTAACTTACCTAATTGTAATCGGACAAATTCTTCAATGCCATAGTGACATTAAAGGGGTGCTTGTTTTATAATAATAATAATAACATTTATATAGCGCTATTCCACACTGTGTAGTATGCTCATAGCGCTCAAGTCAATTCTGCAAAGTCTGAACAATATACTGTGTCATCTCATTACATATAGCGACGGAACAGATGTGTCTTCAGTGATGATTTAAAACTTGCTAGGGACGGACACTGTTTTAAGGAAGTTGGGAGTTTATTCCAATGGAAAGCAGCTTGATATGAAAATGTTCTTGCTCCAAAAGTTTTTAAATTGTATGTTGGTAATTGTAGTTGACAAGTGTTACTAGATCGAAGGTTTTTGACTGGTAAATGTTCGTTAACAAGTTCTTGAAGATAAACAGGTGCAGTCTTATAAACAGCTTGATAAGTTAGGCACAACAATTTGAATTCTATACGTTCATTAATACGAAGCCAATGAAGAGAGGATAAAACTGGAGATATGTGGTCACGGACTTTGGTTCTTGAGACTAGTCTGGCTGCTGAGTTTTGTATACGTTGGAGGCGTTTTGTTTGCTCATTGGTAATCCCAGATAACACACTGTTGCAATAGTCGAGGCGAGAGAGGATAAGACATCGGACGAGGGTAGCTGCAGCATCTGATGTTATAAAATGACGTATTGAGCCAATATTCCGAAGGTGGTAGTGACATGTTTTACACAGAAAACTGATGTGGTTTTCCATAGACAAATTCGTATCCATAATAACACCGAGGTTTTTGACGTATTTTGATGGATTGATGTAAGATTGTTCAATTTTTAAATGGGTTATGTCGCTCTTATGTAGTCTGCGTGTAGGGGCGATCAATAACAGTTCTGTTTTGTCCGAATTTAGTTTAAGCATATTGTTTGTCATCCAGCTTTTTACATCTGTCACACATGTTTCAATTTTTTCACAACAAGATAGTTGACTATTTTGTTCAGGGAGGAAAAAGTCCATGATCTGAGAGTCATCAGCATAAAAGTGGTGATTTAGATCCTTTTTAATGAGAAGATTGCTGAGTGACTTTGTGTACATACAGAAAATAATTGGTCCCAATACTGATCCCTGTGGTACACCACATGTAAGATCGACTGTGTTAGAAAAGGAGCTGTTAACCATAACTGTTTTAATGAACATGAAAGAAGCTTTGGATAAACTATTCAGCTAAATATTTATCAAATATGGGGTTTAACCTCCTACTTTCTGCTATGGAGCTATCGATGAAGAAAATGGATTCAGTTTTGTAATTTATTATCTATAAAGAAGGGCCTAAGCCAACAGAAAGGGGATGAAACCTCATCACTTTGATGTGTCTTTATATTTATATTGTTATGTGGCACAACACGCATAAATGAAATAAATTGATATAGTTCCGGTAATTCGAGAGTTGCCGTGTATTGACTGTGAGATATTGGTCTGTTAAAACAGTGTATATTACTTGGTGTGACGTTTACTGTGGGTTGTCCACTGATACATCTTATACGTTGTAATCTCGGTGTATATTGAATTCCAACTGTCAGGATTATTTTTACGTGCACGCCAGTATGTAAATGGGGCCTCGGTTTTTCGTCTCATCCGAACGACTATACGTTATTCCTTGCCAGGCCTCAAGCCCTGCACCACTGTCAAAGAGGAATCACTCTGGAAATGGGGTTTAATGTCCTACTTTTCTGGAAGTCACGGTGACTGCTCGCTAACATAGGGGTCTCGTGTTCGATAACTGCGTTGGGCGAGAAATCTCATCGGGAATTTTCCGGTGTGATTCCTCTTTACAGTGGTACATGACTGAGGGTCTGGCAGGGGATAACGTATAGTCTTTTAGACGGGATGTAAAATCGAGGTTCCGCGTACATATTAGCGAGCACGTAAAAGACCCCCTGGCAGTTGAATTTCAATATAAGAGAAGGCGTAGGGCCGCATTCGGGCAAAGCTTCCCTGTTCCCTCACAGTACACTGTATGACGTATGTCTTCATTATCCCAGTCAGAGCAGAACAGTAGGACGTTAAACACAATTTCATTTCATTCAATTTTCCTACTTTTCTGCACCAATCGGGCTACTGAAGAAAGACATACGCTATGCAGAGTGCTATGACAGAAATGTTCAATGGACCGTGGTATATTTCTTCATCGAAATTCAACTGTAAAGGATTCTTTTATGTGCATGTCAATGTTATACGAAGGAGCTTGCTTTTTGTTCCATCTACACAACTAGACACTGTACTTTGCTAGACCCTTTGTCCTGCACTACCGAAAGGGAGAAACCACACTGCAAAATCCCGGGGAACTTTCAGTATACATAATCATAGTATTGAGAGGAATATGGCCGATAACCCGACACCACGAGTCCACGACAACCCGACTGTCGGGTTAAAAATATCGTAGTGTCGGGTTGTCGTGGTGTCGGGTTAAAATGTGTTGTCGGGTTGTCGCCTTATGAAGGGCGACACCAGAGGCGTAGCCGTGAAATATATATTGGGGGGGGGGCACAACCCTAACCCCTAACCTAACCTTATTTTAAAACCCCTAAAAAAATATAAACAAACACCATGTGGCCATGCTGTCTACACAACTCGTTTGCTGTCTACCAAGACACCGCGTGCAAAGTATTATGGTTGCGTGGCTGGCTGAGCGGGCGATAAATATTTGGTTTAGGCGATAATGTTTTTGGGAACCTACATGCGATTCACTCTGATAAGTGGCAGAAAAAAATTAACTAGACACAATTTTATGGAACACAGTTACTTGTCACTTCACACATGTTTCAAGGATGATTCTCTCTGTGTTTTATTTTAGCAATGTAAACCATATTGGGATATGTACAGGTTTTATACAGATAGAATCTTAACTAATCCTAATAATTGTTGTAAATAAATAGGAGTTAGGGTTTACTATGTAAATTTTTTGGGGGGTCCAAGTATATTCAGACCCCCCCCCCCCCGAAAAACAATTGGGGGGGGGGGCGGGGTCGGACCCCCGGACCCCCCATGTGTGACGCCCATGGGCGACACCACGACATGATACCAATCAGCCACCATACGAAACAGCTATTATGAATTATATATATCAGTGTGTCACAGGAATTTCATTATGTCTGTACATCCATCCCATTCTTTGTGTTGGTCAGATACGGCCTTCCGAGTAGGGTGCAGTTAAATCGTAATATTAAAAATAAGGGATAAGCTGAGTGAAATCAAACAACCCCCCCACCCCCCCAAAAAAAAACCAAAACAAAACCCAAAAAACAAAAACAAAATTAAAATATTATTTAATTACATACATATTCATTGCTTCCTTTCAAGGTAAGACATCAAATTTTCCCTTCTGGAGTATAGTACTGACATTTTGAAAATCCAAGCATGGATTTATATTGCAAAGGCTTGCTTTGGGGGATTCCTAATCTTTATTTGGAAGAAATTAATTTAAAACGCTTAAACTACATTCCGAAATCGAAGGGACATACAATGATAGTATCTATAAAATTTATACTGTCATATTTCTCAAAAGAAAACCAAAACCTCTGTACTATCTTAGACCCATGAAACAATATCTTGTCTGTCCACTTCTAAAACGCCTAACGTCAACAGTTTCATTGCATTAAAATTACTTAAACCCATATTAAGAACTTTTCCCGAACTCTTTCAAATTAAGTTAAATATCAATTGGGCAGATTTTACATGCTAATGATCACCAGTCAATTAAATTTTTGTCAAACAAGTGCAAAATGCAAATTTGACCCCTTAGCATTTGCAGAAAAACAGGTGTCCCAAATTTGTGAACGGCAAATGACTTACGATATACTGATTACAAAAAGTAGTTCCAATATTTCCATTTTGTTTAGAAATAAATATATTGATAATTGCAGTATGTTAACAAGAAATAAGTGATATGTGTCAAAAGATTGTGACAGTTGGTCAGAATAACGTAACAAAAGAAGAACTGACGAATCCCACCAACACCTGCCAAAGCCGTGTCAGCGGAGTGATACGTCTGAATTATATTGTATAGTACCGTTAATGTAGGCGATGTGTTATGCTTGAAATAACTAAGAATTAAGTACGAATTATGAGTACGTATGGCTCGAAACTGCATCCAGAGTTTCGCCCCTGCTATAAGTGGAATATAGAAAAGTGGTAGAATGGCCTATTCTACGAGACTTTTGGTTCTGTATGGGATTTTAGCGGCATGTAACGGTAGGTGTTAGAGATTATCTGCACCCCTGTGTGTTATATTATTGATGACCTCCACTCAGTACTGTTATATTTAGATAGCAGTAAAACGGTGAAACAGTAGATGTAAACCCCTGGGAATTCAGCTTATGGCTTACTAAACGCTCCCAATGGGTTAAAACACTGAAATATACCTGCTATTGAATTATAATATACCTTTAGAACAGTTTTATGCTGATCTACAAAAAGAACATTTATTTTTTGTGAACTGACAAAAAAAGTCAGCCATTTTGGTTCACTCTGGCCATGTCAAGTTTACTGAAGGGAAATTTACCGCAGGCTAACTTTAGGACCACTGTCCCAATCTTGATACTGTTTAAACTGAATATAATGCCACTGCCAAATTTAGTGGGCAAAGCATATACATGTAATTGTTGTGTAATTCCAAAATCTTGGAGAATGGAAAATTGGAATCAAAATCAGATCATAATTTTATCCCAGTTAATAAACACAATAGTACTAGTAGGCCTTATCCCACATATAGCTAAGAATTGCCATCATACCAATTAATGTTTCAGGGCTGCCCATTTCGTTTGATGTTGATTAAGTTATGGATACCGTACATATTTTAAGAACCTAAATTGAATTTCCAATTTTATGTATTTTGTTATGGATAATATGTACAGTAATTATAAATGACATGGCAGTATACTGGTATATATTTATTATGAATGTTTGCTTTTGGAATAATTTAGGTTGTCAAATTGGAACCACATGATCTGATGGTATCATAATATTGGTATTTATGAAATCATGTTTATTCCACTGGTTATCACATACTTGTTGTCATTTGATACCATAATTAGTATTTGATTGGGTTAGTGTTGAAACTCATTTCAGGTTCCAGGCCAGACATGACTTCACTGGAATGTAATTTTAAAAAATATGTTAGTTAATTAACAGATAAGGTTTCCAAATTATTAAATGGCATATATATGATTCAAACATTCATGAGTAAATATTATTATAAATATATTCCAGCAAGAATTATACATTTTACAACATTGTTTCCTATATGGTTATATATTATTGATATTAAAATGTAGATGTCACAGATAACTGAAGAATATAATGCTGTTGTAGATATAAGTCATATTACCTAGAATTATGGATAACATGTACATATACATGTACTATGTGCATGTATATTCCACTTACTCAAAAAGTAGTTCCATTTATAACATTACAAGCATTTACAGGTAATCTGTAGCTTGTACCTAAAAAATACAAAAGGAAAAATTTACCTGAGATACATGTACATGTAGGATGCATAATTTAGCAGCTATTTAATTCACATGTCTGATATTTGTGTAAAATAATTTAGTTTGCTTCGTTTGTAAATGATTCAAATAGGGTATCATATTTTCCCATCCTTATTAACAACAGAATTTCCGTGTTTATTACAGTTTTGCGTTCAGATGATGACTTTTGTGAGATATATAATTGCGGAAGCATATACTTGCAATTGGCATACATGGAAATTACGCTGTGAATTTTTGCCAAATGTACATTTGTAGTTACACAGTCTTAAGACCAACTAGAAATCAGCCAGATTTCTTCAAGTTTGGGAATGTGACCTCAAAGATTTGTTGAAGAGAATCCTGTCATCAACCTCTCAAAGACAATAAATTGTAGCCCAATTATTATCTATTCAGATGGTGTATTGTATAAGTGTCATATTACACTGCTCTATATTTAGAATGTAAAACTAAAGCTAGATGGGTTTGGAATCAGATTCTATGAAATTTGAATAAGAGAATAAGAAAAACTAATCAAATTAAACACAGAAATAAACAATTTAATAACAATTTAATAAAATTAAAAAAAATTGATTCAAATATTACATAATGTAATAATAAGCTTATTAATTTGATGTAATATCTACAGCAGCTTGTCTAAGCCAGGGTATAAAATATCTTACATTATTTTACTCATATACTTTGATATTGACCAATTTGATGTTAACCAATTAAATGATTTTGGAACTTTTTCTTGGGGAGATAGATATTCATAAGTAAAACAAGGGTTGTTGAGCACATTACGATTGTATAACTCTTGCCAATTATATATTGATTTCTATAGAAAGGGGTCAATATCGAAATATTAATGGCCTATTGATCCATCGTACAATACTATTTACGAACTTATCAATTATCAGTAAAAGAAAATTTGATCCAAAATTATCTATTTTGGTGCAAAAATATGAACATTTACTGATTATTTACATGCAGGGAAAAGGTCACCCCAAAACAATCTACATGTATTTGTTATTTAAAAGAGCTAAATCGCTAATATTTAGGACCTAATGGTTCGCAACACAAATAATAATGTAATATGAATGTACATAAACTGATTTAGTATTTATTGCACATGCTCTCCAGATAGGAATATGACGTAACCGTTTGAGTTACTTGTGGAATATATCTAGCCCCGTCCTTAAAGGCATTCGTGAACCAATGGTAAAATGTTTATTTTGTCTTACAATCTTATGGAAGCCTACAACTACCATTCATAATTTCTACTTTTCGCCCCTTCAAAACACAAAAGTCAAAAAGTGACCTTGAAAGTAGAGACTACATCAACTTCTGAGGCGAAAAGACAACAGTACGACAGCAAGCCAAAATCAAAGGTCGCTAGTTTTGTTAACGCGAATTTATTGTCAATGTCAACAAAACAGTACACCTTTAATAATGTATTATAACAATATTACTTATATTCTCTGTCACCACAGAGTTCTTGATGTGGAAAGTTACAGGGAAATATTTATTTATGGCTAGAAATATTTCCGTGTAAATTTCCACATCTTTCTTATCTAAATTAGATCCTGCTTATATATATATGTAATTTAGATAAGAAAGATATGATATCATATCCCTAGCCATAAATAATTATTTCCGTGTAAATTTCCACATCAAGAACTCGTAGTATTATTCTTACAATTTCTCGTACAATAGGGACCACAAGGCAAAAAGTTAGGCCCGATATACGCGAACATCAAACCGAGATCTTTGATACATAAACATATAATATTAAGTTTTTTTCAAAACCGAATACAAATCGTTAGAGGGACCACAGCCTTCGATCCGATTATCACAAAATTCAAACCCAGGGTGTAACGGTGTATATTTAAACGGTTTTTAAAATCGGGTATAAATTGTAATTTTTGGTACACCCATGGTCCATAATCTAGGAGGTTACGGACCGATATGTGCGAATATGGAAAGAAACAAAAATCCGTGGAATATAGACATATATTTTAAGTTTGATCAAAATCGGATAAAAAAATTGTGACTTCTACAGTGTCCACAACCTTGGTATTATATACTTTTATACTATTTGCATACCAAGCAATTAAAATCAGTGAACCGGACCAAACCCAAACATCCAAAATTTAGCACTTTTTCCTAGATAGTCCTAGCACTGTACATACAATGTAAGCCATGAGCAAACAGGTACCGAACAGGGATCCTTGGGAATCACAAACTTAAAAGAGAGCGATTAGTCATATATGATTCAAACTACATCAAAGCACTATCAATTCTCTTTTTTATTAAAACATGATCTAGAATACCAAATGAGGTCTATAAGCACCAGGGAAAGCACTTGTAATGTTTGTCATCAATATTATTAACACAATAATGACCTATTGTGCTGTGTTACTATTCATTTCTGGGGGCATGTACATGTTCATCATGTAGATTCTTCTGTCTTGTGTTTTCAGAGTTTAATTTTAAATATACATGTTTATACCACATACATGTACTTGCCTGGTCGTGTGGAACTTCCTTTGGTTCACTTAGTATGTGTACCGGTATATGGATTCAATGTCTGGGGTCGTGGGTTCAAGCATCCTGTCACGTACATGATCAGATTTGAAAGAGGTACATGACGTACATTGTATTACCTCAGGTATCTGAAATGATTGACATATTACTTATACATGTGCATGTACGTCCTCAATCATAAAATAATTATCAAAAAATAGATCAATAATAAATTTTAAAAAAAGTGAAAGATTCCATAATAAAACTCATTTTATTTCTATGCTTACAGATGTAACAAGTTATCCATTATTACTTTTTGCAAACCGCAAAGATGTACGACTAATAAATGCTGCTGATCCAAAAGGTAACTCCACAATTATTGTCAATAACCAAGAAGATGCATCAGCAGTTGATTTTCTCTATAATGAAAACTCAATATTTTGGACTGATGTAAGCGAAGAAGTAATTAAAAGAACATATTTGAATGATACACAAAATAGTATTGGTGTTATAACTACCGGTCTTGTGTCTCCTGATGGCTTAGCTTGTGACTGGTTGGGGCGCAAATTGTACTGGACAGATTCAGAAACAAACCGTATTGAAGTTAGCAATTTGGATGGATCATATCGCACAGTATTGTTTTGGCAAGGTTTAGATCAACCAAGAGCAATAGCATTAGATCCCCTAAATGGGTAAGTCTTTTTGATTTTTTAAAATATACATTTCTGAGCAAGACCAAAAAGAAATCTTATTTCATTTGTTTGGTTTACATGTATATCTGTTGCAGCAAGTGTACAATTGTCTTTAAGAATAATTTAAACTTTGATAACATTTTTATACGCCCACATTTTTATGTAGAAGTATATTGCCGTCGCCCCTGTCCGTTCACATTTTGTCTGTGGACACTCTACAGGTCACAATTTTTATCTAATTTTAACGAAACTTAAAATATAGGTGTGTATCGGACTGTAACTTTATGGATTATGGCCCCTGATTGTATGAAAAATCACGTCTTTATCTTGTGGACACTCTTAGAGGTCATAATTGTTATCCTATTTTGATGAAACTTGAAATGTACGTGTATGTTTATAACTGCAAGATCTCGATTCTTTTCGATTTTAAGTTGGACCGTAACTTCCTGGATTATGACCCCTGATTGTACAAAAAATCAAGATTTTAGCTTGTGGTCCCTTTAGAGGTCACAATTTTTACCCGGTTTAAAAAAACAAAACATTAAAATGTATCACTGTTACATCATAATAATGGTTATGTTTGAATTTTGTGAAAATCAGCTCGAAACTGTCGGACAAAATGGCCCCTCCTCTCGAAATTAGCGTAAAAGTATGATATCAAAGGCGTATGGGTTCAATGACAGTTGGGGGCAGAATCCAAAATGCCTGAAAAATTTATGGGTTACAGGTGTCGGTGGGGGTCTTCTGTGAGAGCAGAGCTTACCGGGTAGGCCCCCCCCCCCAAGAAAATTTCGTAAAATTTGACGGCCGCAAATGCATTTCCTGCTATTCTAGCCCGTGAATACAGCAACTTCAAAGTGATTTAATATGGCCTAATTAGATGGCTGAAGATTTTGAAAATTTAACTGCCGCAAATGTGTTTTCCTGCTATTCCAGCAACTTCAATATGGTCCAATATACATGTAGCCTACCTTATAGGCGACTGACCTGAATCCCAAACAACCATTTAATCGTCGTCGGGTATGAAGGCCTTACATGTACCTCCCCGAGAAAATTTTGAAAATCAAACCACCGCCGTTTTTCTGCTTTCCAAAGTTGTCCAATGGTTTTGTAACTAAAATCCCGCTCTATGCCAACCTAATTCCAACCATCCTGTTGCAGCTGTATTCATAATTAATAATCAATGCCCCGAAAAATGTTGCACCAAGTGTTAAAGTGTTTTAATCCATAGTGAGTTATTAGATTTTGGCACTTTATTTTGCCATCTAGATGAAATTTTATGGTTTATGGCCCCTGTTTGTATTCAATTTTAAAAACCTCAGTGAAGGTTGAGTTAGAATTTCATAAAAATCTTAACTGCCGGACAAAATGGTCGCTCCTTTTTCGCAAATAGTGTAAAAGTATGTATAACTAAGGTTATGGACTCATGCACTAGAAGTCACAATTTTTATCCGATCTTGATGAAACGTAAAATTTGACCCGTCATGGCATAATGAGTCGCAGTGAGGAAATTTTGAAAATGTGAGTTATTGTTATTTTCACATTCTCCAACTCATTACCTTCAATTTCATGTATAGTTTGTTTGAATTAGGCAAAAATTGACTGAGCTGTTCGGCATAGATACATGTAGACAATTTTAAATGTTACATGTATAATTATTATATAGTTAACAAGTCACTTTGACTTTACTCCATGTATTGATCATACTTTAATTGTCTGATTTTAAAGATCGCGTCATATAGAAAGAATTTCACTCTATTGAGATTCATTGATTCCTAAAACAACCCTCCAAGCAATTTACATGTATGTTAAATTACAAGTATTGTTTATGTTAGAAACACAACAATTACCAACAAATGTTATGGCAATCATCCAAATACAGTTCCATACATTATTCATGAACATAAGAAATAACATTACATGTAATGGAAATTGTAATATATAGCTTTTTCATCCACTTATTTAACATTTTTCTAATTGTTTATGTAACTGTATTAAGAATATTTGTACATTCCTGTACTATTGTTTATGTCATATATATATGTATAATTATAATAATTAGCTGCACCACCAGCCGTCAGTGGTAGGAGGGGTAAAGCTGGGGCAAAATCCAAGGTTAAGGTGGGCAAAGGTGCAAGGTTCAGTTAGGGGTATTTTTTGAAAAAAAGACTGCCGGAAATGCAGTTTTGTAGTATTTCAGGCACTGATCGTCGAGATAAATAGTTATAACCAGATACTGCCTGTCGCTGAATGGCTAGTTTATCTGACCAGAGTGGAAAGTGTCAAACGAATGGACTTGCGAACCTCAACGAAGCCCTCCTCATGAGCGCCAAAGTAGCGAGACCTTACAGAGGGTAAGGGAGACTGCCCCAAGAAAATTTTTAAAAATAGACAGCTGGAAGTGCAATCTGACAGTATTCAGACACTGATTGTTGAGATAAATAGAGTTGACCAGATACCGCCTGCTCACAAGTTTATCCGACCAGAGAGGAAAGTGACGAACAGACTTACAAACCTCAAAAATACCTCGAAATGCAGTCTGGCATTATTTCAGGCACTGATCATTGAGATAAATAGAGCTTATCAGATATCACCTGATGACAAATCACTAGTTTATCTGACCAGAGAGGAAGGTGTCAAACGAACGGAGTGAGTGAATCAATTGAATGAATATTTTCACCGTGATATTTTGAGAAATAGACTGCCAGAAATGCAGTCTGGCAATATTTCAGATACTGGTCGTCGAGATAAATACATGTACATGCAGAGCTGTCCAGATATTGTCTGTCGCCAAATCACTAGCTTATCCGAACATAGAGTGAATCAAAGTGAATGAATAGTCTTGCCGTGATAAACCTATACCCCAAAACTTGCTCTGACAAACCAGGAATTGCGAACCGGTGTCATCAAGCTCTTCAAGTGTACTGCCCGCCATGTAGCACATGATTCCTCTATCAAGAGACAACTTACGATGCACCCTGCTAAATGTTGCCTTTCTGAAAACGGCTGTGTTGTGAGTCAGTGACAGTTTACAAAATCTAAACATCAGCGCTTCTATATCAGTACCTTCTGTTTGAGCCATTCACTTTTTAAATTAGAGGTTCCAATTTGCTCCAAAACTACTGTCTAGTGTCTCATTGTACATGTATGTTAGTTTAGACCTAATATTTTTCCTCCAGGATATACTAGAAATATCATTTCAGGCAGTAAAAATTCCTGAGGAATAACCTTCACACTTCCTGCCAAGGCAACCCTATCCCCCTACCCCAATTCCTCCCCCCCCCCCCCCCTGGATATAACTAATAATAATTCTTTTTCTTCAAGGTATATGTACTGGTCAGACTGGGGAGAAACTCCTAAAATTGAAAGAGCTGGAATGGATGGTAAACATCTAACACGTAAAGCCATTATAACAGAGAATGTCTACTGGCCTAATGGATTAACTTTAGACTACGATGATTCGAAAATATTTTGGGCCGATGGAAAATTAAGTTATATTCATAAATGTAATTTTGATGGGTCTGATCGTCGTGTTGTTGTGGAAGGTTCTTTACCGCATCCCTTCGCTTTAACATTAGAAGGTGAATCTCTGTTCTGGACTGATTGGAAAACCCACTCTATACATATGTGTGATAAGAAGACTGGCCTACAGAAAAGTGTTGTTCATGACAATATCTTTTCACCCATGGATATACATGTTTACACGGCAACACGACAACCAACAGGTAAGATCGCTGTCTTTACATCAATACATCACACATTATTATCACACTCCAACTTTTTCTTCTTTTTTTTTATATCATCTTCATTATTTTTCATTACACACCTTTGATCTCCCATGCATGTTATAAAATGTATCAACTTGTTGTGACGTCATCAGAGGGTGATATCTGATATCGGCCCTAGGGACGATATCAGATATCAACCTCTGATGACGTCACAACAGGTTTACATCACTCTGCAATGAAAAAGGACACAAATTCTTTCTTTTATCATTTTATTCACTTTTTTGTACAATGTTGTCAAACGATTCGGAAGACGAACTTTGGCAGGCCCATGTTACTTAGCTTCTTCATCTGACCATCAAGAACTTGTGTGAAACTCAAATTCTGGAGTGTGTAGTATATCCATATCAGTTTAATTCCTAATCCGTAAATGTGAAACTATTCCCATAACTAAATACGGATTCGGCGGGTAATATTCATCATTTTATTTTATTATTCAAAAAATAAGATCTTATATCCTCATATCTTCCAGCGCACACAGGAATTTTCGCTCACCATCATGTTTATTATTCCGCCACACTGACCAACTGTTAAAAAAGTTCACAATCCACTGATTTCTGCGTAAGGTATTTATGGGCATGGTATTGTTGGCACACTCACTGACATCTCGTCACTCGAAATTGAACATCGTTTATCATTTGTATCTCACAATACGAAAGATCTGAGTACATTAAATCTTTCTTGAATATTTTCTGTATAAATTCTGCACTTTGACTAGCTTTAAATAATTCTTTGTCAGAATCTACGTTTTCTTTTTCTACCATATTTTCTACAGACTGACTTACATGGATCAGTTCGTCATCAGAATCGTTTCACAACATTGCACAAAATGAATACCAGTTTGTGAACATGTGGTTATTAAAATGTAATGCACGTGCAACTTACGACTTGTTTTCTTAATTTTGTCATATCAATCACAGTTCTGATATAGGCTAAACCATTGTCTTATAGGTGAAATCAATTAGGATAGATTTAACATTGATGTCGGTGTGTAAGACAAATATTACCCAATACATGTACCCTCGGTCGATATGTGAAATAACCATCAATCTCTCTGCCATGGTTTCCCATGTCAGTGGTGTAGGACGGAGGGCCTGGCATGAAACAGCATCTACATGTATATGTAGTTGTTCCAAGGGGACGAAAAAACTAGGTTCCATGTACACATTGTCGTGCACGTAAAAGAACCCTTGACAGTTGGAATTCGAAATAAGAGTAGATGATTGTGCCACTGTCTGAGCAAAATTTGCCTCATAGCACACTACATGATGTATGCCCATCTTCATTCACCCCGATGGAGCAGAAAAGTAGGACATTAAACCCTAGTTCCTTTAATTAGTTTATAATAGGCTTGTCTAAAGTCAATTGGTAACTTTCATTCATACAATGATGTTTCCTTAAGATATTCTTACTTGTGTCTTTTAATTAATTCGAGGATAATTTTTGGTGCTACTGTAAACTTATATGTATGTATATTTTTTATTGCTGCCCATAGATCTGAGTAAATTTGGAGGTAATAACAGTCAATATGATTCCACATTGTTTACATGTTTTAGTTTACATGTATCTATTATTATTGTTGTCTTAATCAACTGTTCATGTACAAATACAACATTTCCCCCCTAATCTCAACTACATGTATTCATATTTGTTTTGTTGCATGTTACTGTTACATTAAATTTAATTCTTGAAAAAAGATATGGAGCATATTATTAGAATTCTTCTTGTATACATAATAAAATCATTATCCAACAGTCATGGTACCGGTTCTCACAAATAGTCTTAACTGAAGGACAACCATATATCTATATATCCTCTTCAGATGGACATAGTTAAACCAGTTACATGTACATGGATCATTAGTACTTATTACCCATGTGTAAATATTTATTTTACAGTTCCTGGAATTTTTTTTATAGAGGAATTCATTATATTTGTCATCACCATCACCCTTGTCCATGATCCACAATTTCTTGTGAACACTTACTTCTTTTTCTGGGTTTCTAAAATTTAAAATTAATCTGTGTGGTGCGGTCCTCCTGGACTTACTACCAGAGACAGCAATTTATCATCTAGTCTTTATTTCAATTAGTGACACTAAGAGGCCTGGTGAATTTCAGCAATTTCTAATTAAAACTTATTGTTCTTGTTCACATTGTAGGGTTTAGTGAATGCTGTAGTCGCGTAGCTTATCATTAGTTCTAAATGAAATTATGTGAATTGTATATAGCTTCATGAGATAAAAATCTTATCGAAATTCAGTAATATCTATTTGATACATGTACTTCCATAGTTATTGCAGTTGCTCGCTTTGTATAAAATCTTATTTTGATTGTCCAGTCAAATGGTGCATCAGGTATAAATTGTTATGTTATGCTTGTCTGAATATTGTGTATAATGTTGTGATTGGTAAAAAGATGTTCATGTGGCTCAGTTGGGCTAAACTTGATTTGAGTGTTTGTAGATATTTTTATTAGTAATGTGGGAGCACTTACTTATATGGGTGATCTACATTCATCTAATATGCAAGTTGTCTTATTCCCAAGACCTCAAAGTTTCATAGATTGTTATTTAAAATGTAGTGATGGAACTGAATAAAACATACATGTGAAATTTACCTCCAAATATTGCTTCTAGTCCCATTAAATTTATTTTGAATAAACAGTCATGTACATGAAGTGTTTAGTTAAACATACATTATGCAAGAGCTAAATCTGCCTATTGCATGTCTTTCTTTAGGCCTGAAATGTTATATAAACTATTAAATTAACTTATCCAGACCATAATCAACTCTTGATACATGTACCATCGCTAGCCTGCGATATTTAGCGGATTGGAATACATTTTATGAAAAACAATTAAACGTAAAAATGGATAATCAAGACTTTGTTTTTTGTCGTACCGACTTTAGTAATAATGAACGAGGCTAGGTTTTTTATTGTACCGACTTTAATAATTATGATCGAGACAAGCTTAAAATTCAAAAGCTAATATCTTGGTTCAGAGTGGAGCAATTTAACTGAAATTTTCAAAATATTCTATTTACATTACCTATTTGTTCTTAACTATTTCAACTCTTTATCTAACCTCCCTTAATGCCCCTTTACTATATTTCCATTTCTTGTATATGAAATTTGTAGTACTTTCTAACATTGTAAATCTGTAAATATCTTTGTTATTATGCATGTCTAGTACACTGGTAAATACTACTCATGTATATCAGAACTAGAAGCATTGCAACATACTAGTAGTGGGTGAACTACAGATGAACATTAAAATTCTGGGAAATTAGGATATTTGGGTCCAAAAATATGTGTTCTACAAGTCTCCCAATGATGAAAGTTTAAAATACATTGAGCGTGCGCGCGCTGTATCATAAAGTCTGTCATTGAGTCGACTGGCGTGGTTTCCAATCCCCGGTTGTACGTGGCAAGGAGTAGGGTCGCCTGTCCAACCTCGTGGGTTTTCTCAGGGTCCTCCGGTTTCCTCCCACTGCTAAAGACCCCTACGCGCAAGCGAATTATGTAAATAAAATTAAACCATATGTTAGTCCCGAAATGACCTAGTTTGTGTCGAGTGGACGTTAAACCCCATTTCTCTCTCTCTCTCTTTAAAATACATTGTAGTTATTAATTACATGTAGTGGACACACAAATATTAGAAATTTTGAATTCTCAGAAGAATGTTTGGGATTGCTTCTTGAATTATTATATTTACTCAATTTATAAAATCTTAGAATGCTCTTGTCAGAGTTGCATTGCAGGGACATCTCTCTCACTGTCCTCTGCTCTTCAACTACATGAATACATGTACATGTATGTTCTCCTAATGCTAGAAAAAAGGGAATATAATTGCAATAATTTCGATGGTTGATGCTTTGAGACAGAATCATGATACCTTGAGTAAATTCAGTGATGAAAAATAATAAATTTGATTGGTCGGGACTTTAGAGCAGGATAACTTTGATTCTAATTGAGTGAGAGCACTTAATGAAACATGGTGTATGGTTTTACTACATCAGTACCTTGACAGATAATGATGATGAGGATTTTCAGCTTAGGCTAAGTAGAGACTTCAGTTTGATTGGTTGAAACTTTGGAAAGAGATAACTTTAATTCAAATTGTGTGACTCTCGAAGTATAGTTTCATTACATCAATACCTTGACTAAGTTCGATAATGAAGATTTTCTGATTAGGCTAAGTTTAAATGCAATGATTGATTGCTTGATGCTTTCTAAAAAGATTAATGCACAGTTAATACATGTATGTGTCATCTATTTATTTATGGATTTAGGTGGGGACATCAGCATCACTGTTGATTTGTTAGTTTAAACTTTAAGGTATTTGCTTGAAATTGAGTACTTTCTCTTTCTCTCTCTCTCTCTCTCTCTCTCTACATAGTAGAGTTACAGACCAATTCAAAGTAAATTCAGTTTCAAAGAATTTATTCTGTCTTTACATATTTGAATTATATATTTACAGAAATGTATTTGCAGTATCAGTCTTTCATGATTTGTGAATATTTTCTGAATGCTTGTTCAACAAGCTTTAGGAATGTATGTATATTGCATTTACTTATTGTCAATCTGATTAAAACACAGATCCTATTTCGTTTCGTTTTTTTTAGTTCAAAATATCGTTTTATTTGTCTGTACTACACTAGGATCTGGACGAGTTGTCATATAAACTGCGTTCTGTATGGTGTGATGGATTAGCCAATGAAATCATCTGTTACGGCGACTTCTTGGCGTGCAATGCACGAAAGTGGGTTTAATTCACTAGAAACATCAACGCTGATTGATTAATCAATGTCTGGCCGGTCAGATCTTCATGTAGTGTAGGCCATCAAAAGTATAATAAAAAAACGAAATGAAATATAGATCTGTATTTTAATCAGATTGACTTATTGTATATACCTATTTGTAATCTATATTTTCTAGGTAAAAATCCATGTGGTAATAATAATGGTGGGTGTTCACATCTATGTTTGATGTCTCCAATAAAACCATTCTATACATGTGCCTGTCCTACTGGAGTACTATTAAAATCAGATAAGAAAACCTGTGCTGATGGTAAGTTTAAGAAAATTAAACTAGAATACATGTATCATAAAAAATAAAGCTTCTAATACAGAAAGAATGTGTCTGAAGGGTATGTTTAAGGTAGGGTCCCTGTTTCAAAATTTAATCAACAATAAGTAACAATCAAATCTTTGTTATTCAGCTGAAAGTAGATTTCACCATATATTGATTTCTGATTTGACATATTTGTTAGACTTTTGCCAATCCAGATGGACATGTCCAGCATATACGGACGAAACAGAATCCGTGCTTCATGCATACTCTACTTCTTTCTGTTTAAATCTCTGTGTATATACTATATTGTTTATTTGTAGGCGCTGAGAACATTTTATTTTTGGCTCGTCGTACAGATTTAAGAAGAATTTCGTTAGATACACCAGATTATACAGATGTAGTTTTACCATTAAATGATATCCGACATGCTATAGCTATAGATTATGATCCAGTAGATGGCTATGTTTATTGGACTGATGATGAAGTAGAAGCTATTAGAAGATCTCTCTTAGATGGGACCAGTAAGTCTTTAATTCACTTTATTTAGAAGGTACTGTGTACACCAGTGATGGGATTTCAAAATTTTAGTTGTCAGACTTTTTACCGAAAATAAATGGGCATAACTCTTATCATTATTTAAGCAGACTGTTTCAGACCACAATTAAAAATCATATGTCAACAAAATATTCAAATTCGTACGTAATAAAAAAAATAGGTGCACCACGTTATTTTTCATATTTAATTCCTGACGGTATTCAAATTTATGTCAGTAATATTCCTTCAAAAATTATGTGTTGTTGTAATACGATAGAATGAAAGTGTTCCGACTACTGTCGACCTGTACTTTTGTTAGAAATCAGCTCCAAAATTAGTGTATTTTTATACGCCCACATTGAAATGTGGTCGTTTATTGTCGTCGCCCCCGTCCGCCCGGCCAAAGTTAATATCTGATTGACTTTAAATTTATACACAGTGTTTAAGGTCTTGAGACGAAGAAGCCTATTGATTTTCAGCGATTTCCGATAATTATTGCCAGAGTTATGGCCCTTTATCAATTTGAAAAATCTTGTGGATGCTCTAGAGGCGAAAGTTAATATCCGATTGACCTAAAATTTATACACAGTGTTTAAGGTCATGAGACGAAGAAACCTATTGATTTTCAGCGATTTCCGATAATTACTGCCAGAGTTATTTCCCTTGATCACTTCAAAACATCTTGTGGACGCTTTAAAGGCCAAAGTTAATATCCGATTGACTTTAAATTTATACACAGTGTTTAAGGTCATGAGACGAAGAAGCCTATTGATTTTTAGCGATTTCCGATTATTACTGCCAGAGTTATGGCCCTTGATCACTTTGAAAAATCTTGTGGATGCTCTAGAGGCCTAAGTTAATATCCGATTGACTTTAAATTTATACACAGTGTTTAAGGTCATGAGACGAAGAAGACTATTGATTTTCAGCGATTTCCGATAATTACTGCCAGAGTTATTTCCCTTGATCACTTCAAAAAATCTTGTGGAGGCTCTACAGGCCAAAGTTAATATCCGATTGACTTTAAATTTATACACAGTGTTTAAGGTCATGAGACAGAAAAGCCTATTGATTTTCAGCGATTTCCGATAATTACTGCCAGAGTTATTTCCCTTGATCACTTCAAAAAATCTTGTGGACGCTCTACAAGCCAAAGTTAATATCCAATTGACTTTAAATTTATACACAGTGTTTAAGGTCATGAGACGAAGAATCCTATTGATTTTCAACGATTTCCGATAATTACTACCAGAGTTATTTCCCTTGATCACTTCAAAAAATCTTGTGGAGGCTCTAAAGGCCAAAGTTAATATCCGATTGACTTTAAATTTATACACAATGTTTAAAGGACAATATTAGTGCCAGTCATTATCACATGTGTGATAGAAATTGATGAACACAATTCAAATATAATTTTAACACAGAGATCATCGCTACGATAGCTGAGTAATACAGGTTTCCTGGGTTGGAAGTGACGAACGCCAAAGGAAAACACGAGTCATCTCTCTATATAACTGTCTGATGTGACGAGTGATAACGGATATACAGCCGAATTTCTGCTCACTAATAATTCCTTGAAAGACCAAAAGTTGATATATGGGACTGTAAGAGGATACCTGAAAATTCAATAAAGTAATTAAATGTCATTAGATAAGAGAACACGAGAAAAATAGAAATAGTGCATTCTTCTTATACTATGTTTTGACTCCTATACGGAAATATTTTGGCAGTGACCGTCGCTCCACGATATATCGAGCCAGTGACATCATCTGCTAAATAATAGCACTCGCACGTGCTATCGTGTAAAACAATTAACTACTTACATGTACACTATTCCAATCGAAATATTTGTCGACATTTCTCGGCTTGTTTATTTCTTTTTTTTTAAACATAAACCCATTCAAAATATTATCATAAATCCGAGAATATGCCATCAAAATAGAATCTTTCTTTCAACGTGATAATTGTCACATTTAGATCTCTTGTAGTTTCACGCCTCTCGCAAGATTTCTACTTTAGTTTTTGATTATTGTATTATAACCACGTGTGGGTGTTTGTGTAAAATAGCTTTATTTAACGTCCGCTTACACCGAAGTGATATCGCAGACAAATTAACGGATATATTTATTTACATGTACAAGTTAAGGATAATATATTGATTTGGGGTGTATATACTCTTACTATATGTGACATCTATTATTAGTTTATACATATTGTCGGCTCACATCAATGGGATTAAAATGTTTGACAATGGAGAAACCATGAGGTAAACACGTAGATTAAAATGATAATCACTCTTATTGGATTGATGAATAGTCCGACAAAGAGGAAGCAATGACTTCTGTTTAAGATTAGATTGATGAATTGTTCGACAAAGGATTAAGTCAGTCAATCAAAGCAGATTAAGTACATGTAGTTAATCAAGGTAGGTGTATAGATGGTATAAGATGATAAATACATTGATCACTTAATTACCTAATCAATCCAGCCTATTATCAGCGATAATCGGGTTGAGTGGTAGTTATACACTCAGTACACTATATTAATTATGGAATTTTGAATATTATTCACCGTGTCTTGATGTCCGATTGGGCATATTCCTGGTTGGACAATTTAGGACGTTTGGAAAATACCGTCGGACATGTCCAAATATACGTCCTAAATCCCTTCTCTGTTGTACACGTTGGCATACGCTTACACGTAAATGGTTGGCTGTTGGAATTAGATATAAGAGTAGGCTGTAGTGTCGCTGTCAGTGCAAAATTTCCCTCATAGCACACTGTATGGCATACACACATCTTCATTATCCCTGTCAGTGCACACAAGTGGGACGTTGAACCCCATTTCATTTCATTTCCTAATGGTATCACAGGTCTGTGTATGATGATGTACTAATAGTTTGATTGTCTATATATAGATCAAGAAGCAATAGTTAATACAGAAGTTTATCATCCTGATGGTATAGCTGTTGATTGGATAGCACGGAATCTATATTGGACAGATACAGGTACAGATAGAATAGAGGTTTCAAGATTAAATGGTACATCTAGAAAGGTGTTAATATCAGATAATCTAGATGAACCAAGAGCTCTCTGTCTAGATCCTGTTGCTGGGTAAGTTATATCACAAAATCACAAAAATACTTTCATGAACTGTAATTTGATTAAATTACTTTTATTTTCAAAATTATGTTTTGGGTTTACAAAATTAATGAAAATATTTTTATTTTAGGTATTTATATTGGAGTGATTGGGGTGAAGTACCTAAAATAGAAAGAGCCGCGTTAGATGGATCAGATAGAATTACCTTAGTGGATACTGATCTAGGCTGGCCAAATGGGTTAACTCTAGATTATGATGAACAGAAGATCTACTGGGGTGATGCAAAAACAGATACAATTGAAGTAGCAGATCTTGATGGTAGAAATAGAAGAACTGTTATCTCAGAGAATATTCCACATATATTTGGTTTCAGTTTATTAGGTATATTTCATTATAATGCTACATGTATGGTGCCAGTGGAAGTTACATATAATACTAAGAGACTAAGGTCTTGGATAGTCTTTATCTTGGTTTTGCTACAGGTCATAATGTAATTAAATTTTACTAAATCTTTGAAGGAATCGAGAAGAACCCAGGGAGTAAAATACAGGGCTTGCCACGAGACGCGAGCAACTGCTCGCGTAAATCTACATTTACGCGAGCGGTTTGTTGCTCGCGCAAAATTTTAAGAAAACCCAGTAAAAATAATCAAAATATTGACAAGTTTATTGCCGAAACTAACCCAACAATGTCAATAACGTCATAAATTCGTCTGTCAAACTGAGATTCACCCAGCTGCACGCGGCATTTCCTCCTGAAATTTGATTGACTAATAAAGTTACTCGCAACTTGTGTTACTAAAAATACACTTTAGACCTGATCGTCATGACTGTTTTTCCCACGAACACCAGTAACAAACACGTGATAATCGAGTCTAAAGTAAAGAATGTTTACATCCGGCATTTGGCATTCACGCTAAATGAACACGTTTCAAACTAATATTTATCGGTATTTCCTATTTTATCAGAACTTCGATTTTTATTCCACTGTGCAGTCGTATAATTTTCAATCTAAGCGTAATAATGGCCAAAAGCAACCTGATTGCCCTATCCACATTTATTTCATGGGGTGAAGAAATCCATACGGAAATTGGTTTAAATAAAGAAGAGTACGTATGACTGTCAAAAACAGAAAGCGATGGTCACACATGTTTACTGCAAACTTTGTGCCAGGAATAGCAATTTTCTTATGATTTTAAATTGAAACAATGTTACAAAACGTGTGCTCACGCAAACAACATTTTGCGTGAGCAATTTTTATTGCTCGCCCAAACCTAAATTTGCGTGAGCAGTCATCTGCTCGCCATCAATTTATTCGTGGCCAGCCCTGAAAATACCTATATAGATGAAAATCTGGAAATGTTGTCCCCTGATCATACAATTGGCAACCAAATATTTACACTTTGCATAGTAGCCTTATGTTTCAATAGGAAACAATATATACCTGACAACGGCAAATAAAAATACTGTGCACACATGTGACTCTATTTGACAATGAGTAACCTCCTAATAGAATTTGTAAAAAACTGGTAATGTATTATTGGAACCATATTAAATTCTGTGTTGTGGTGAAAGTTGTTTGGGTCTGAATGCAATAAGAGGATTGTTTATAACAGAACAATTTTTGCTCATATGGAATGATAATGTATGTAATATTGCAGGTGATTATGTTTATTGGACTGATTGGCAGAGACGATCTATAGAACGTGTTAATAAAAATACTGGAAAAGATAGAGAAGTTATTATCGATCAATTACCTGATCTAATGGGATTAAAGGCTGTTTATGTAAAAAAAATAGAAGGTATGGGAATATAATTTGAACTGAAATCTAAATATTATATGTTTTGTCTTGGTGCTTTTATGAGTTATAGTCGTTGTGTATTTACAAGTGTTAGTCACCGACCTACTAAAAACAAAACGTCCGCTTCCATCGAGAGTGATACCGCAGACAAGTTGTCTTATTTTTTATTATCTTAGCGCATGCACAGGGGTCTTTCCTGTGGGAGGAAACCGGAGTACTCAGAGTAAGTCCATGAAGTTGAGAAGACGCGGATATCTCCATGCCACATAAGCTCACACCAGGGATTGCTTGATGCCTTGAAAAAATATTAATGTGCAATTAATGTGTCATCTGCTTATTTTGGGATGTTGACTTGTTATTTCTGTGTTCGATATTTAATATTCAGTACTGTCTGTTAATCCATCTAATATCATTTATAGGTACTAATCCATGTGCAGTCAATAATGGTGGTTGTAGTCATCTGTGTTTACATCGACCACTATCTAAAAATCCAACATGTGCTTGTCCAATGGGATTAGAGTTGATCAGTAATGGTCGTACTTGTATTATACCGGATGCCTTTCTCTTATTCACCATCAAAGATGATATTAAGCGCATTTCTCTAGAGGTTAACCATAACATACAGCCAATCCCTATACAAGGTGTAAAGGATGCAGCAGCTATAGATTTTGATATCAATGATAATCGTATCTATTGGACTGATATAAAAGTTAAAGTAAGTTATATGTTACTTATTGAATCTTATAATGATGTATAATGATGCATTATCGTTATGATATTAGTTGAGAGTGTGTAAACTTTGTATGAGAAACAGCAATTTATGTTAACTGTAGCAAGAAATGTATCTCAAATTTGATAAGTTCACATGATGTCAAAGACAATCTGACAGATTTTAATGCAATACAACATAAAAAATAAAATGATTCGAGTAATGACAAAAGCAGAACAGACTCCTTGATATAAATAGCAGTTAATTTTCAGAATATACTTTGATTATATAAGAATGGTATATGATGTATTTTACAGAGTATTAGCCGTGCCTTTATGAATGGTAGTGCTGTACAACATATTATAGATTTTGGTGTTGATTTTCCGGAAGGTATGGCTGTAGATTGGGTGGCACATAATATATACTGGGCTGATACAGGTAAACAGAGAATAGAAGTTGCTCGTTTAGATGGTACATCTAGAAAAGTATTGGTATGGAGAGATTTAACTGATCCAAGAGCTCTAGCCCTTGATCCGCCTAATGGGTGTGTATTGTTTTTATGCTGTCATATAGTATCATACTATATGTGTTGTCCCTTTAATGTAAGGTTGTATGTGTGAGAGAGTGTACACTCCAGTGAGAGAGGTCAGTTGACTTGTGGTTGTCAGTGTGGGAGGACATAGCATTGAGTTGTAGTTTTGATCATAGTGAACTGGAATAAACTCTTTTGCATATAATAATTATATGAATAGGCTTAAGGCCTATTTAACAAGGCATTCTTATATTTAAAATTACTACTTTATTGTCATATTTGAACTGTCCAACAATTCAGGCAGCATCTAATAGCTTTGTCAGAATCTTCTTAAATATGTGAAAAAATATATGTTTTTATCAAATATACTATTCAAAAAAAGTAGGGGATATTTGATTTTTAAGTGCTATTAAAGTCACCTAATGAAACTGACGAAGAAACAAATGACAAAATGAAATGAAGTTCACATTCATCGATTTATTCCAAATGATCGTTAGACTAAGTAAGGCACAGACTGACCATTATAAGGGTAAAATGATACCCGGGGTCAAACAGCAAAGTTACCACAGCATCACAACCAAGTCATTAACGGGTAAATCCTCCTCTGTTTGCCAAACAAGCATTGATCCGACGTGGCATACTCCTAATGAGACGTCTAAGGTCATTTTGGTCCAGATTGTCCCATTCCTGTTGCAACGCAGCAGCAAGTTCTTGGACATTGGTAGGACGTTGTTGACGTGGACGTAACCTCTGTCCAAGCATGTCCCAGACATGCTCGATGGGGGAGAGGTCGGGACTCAGTGCTGGCCAAGGTAATGTGGTGATGTTCTGTTGTTGGAGGTAACCTGTAACGATCCTGGCCCTGTGACATCTTGCGTTGTCATCCTGGAAGATGAAACGGCGGCCATGACGTCGTGCGAACGGCACAACATGGACTGCCAAGATGTTGTCCTGGTAGTACTGGCCTGTAACACGCCCTGCAACAACATGTAAAGCCGTTCTTCCAGCAACAGTGATGCCTCCCCACACCATAACAGAACCACCCCCAAATCGATCATGTCTGATGACGTTAACGTCTTGGAAGCGCTCGTTTCGACGACGCCACACCCTCCTACGTCTGTCCAAAAAATCAACAGTGAACCTTGACTCATCTGAAAACATCACATTGCTCCAGTGTCGATTATCCCAGTGTTGACGATCCCTACACCAACGACGTCTTGCCTGAATGTGATGATCTCTCAAACAAGGGATCACGTGAGGACGTCGGGCGCGAAGGTGACCCCTATGCAGTCGATTCCGAATCGTCTGGCCACTCACTCTCACACCAGTGTCTGTTTGAAGACGAGCGCTGATCTGATTTGCTGTGATGACACGATTTCTCAAGGCCAAGGTACGGATAAATCGATCCTGGGCTTGAGTTGTCGCCCTTGGTCGACCTGAGCGTGGTCTGTCCTGTACAGATTGTGTATCACGGTATCTGGACCATAGCCTGCTTATGACAGACTGAGAAACATTCATCGTCCGCGCCACAACCGCCTGTGTTGTGCCGATCTGTAGCATGCAAGGGCACGTAACCTTTCATTTTGGGTAAGCCGACGCATATCAAAATTTGTTTTCTGGTCACTAAAACAATTAAACTGATGTTTCCACCCTGGAATTCAATGCCACAATGACTGTAACATTCAAAGTCAGAGTCGTGCAAATCTTGGGTTGGACCCCCATGATGATCCCAAGCATCACCTGCATTCCATGCGGTAGCTATTGGTGCGTTTGGGCGTCACATGTAACTGGAAATGTTTCTTCTGGTAGGTTCTATAGTAACTTTTTTCGTAGTCATTTGCATATTTTAGTATTATGCCCCCAAAATCAAATATCCCCTACTTTTTTTGAATATATTTCGTTAACAGAAAACAGTAGCAAACAGATACGCACATATAGCATTTCTTTATATATTTCGTTAACAGAAAACAATAGCAAGATATTTATTTCTTTGAATTCTATTTAACTGAATAAATTTATTTGTTAGGTATATGTACTGGAGTGTTTGGGGCAATGAACCTCATATTGAAAGAGCTAATTTAGATGGCAGTAAACGAAAAGTATTAATAGCTGATCCAGGTCGTGTACAAGATTTAACTATAGATTATATAGAGAAAAGAATGTATTGGACTAATATAGATCGAGAAAGAATTGAATCATCTGATATGTTAGGTAAGTATCTTGTATTGATAGCTTCCATAGCAGTATCAACTATTACATCACATCCAACCAGTAGCGGATCTAGAAGCTGTGAATGAAGGAGGCGGGGCTTTCCAAATCTAGGGCGCCAACCACAACCCCATTCCACAATGAGTGTCAACAAGTAAAATACATAAAATAACACTGAGCACCCCAGTAGCACATAGATCGTATTGCCTATATAGTTGTTTGGCGATCGGAAAGCAGTTTTATTCAAGGTTGAATAAGGCTAAAATATTTGGAAACAATTGGAATTTCTCTTTAAAGTTTCAGTTTTATTAATGTCTCACATTATAGATGTAAAATGTTACGTTGCCACATTAACTATCATTTTGTTAAGTTGTGTTCTAATGATTATTATTGACTATTCTTGGTAGATTGTTAATTTGTAATCTGTAAGAGACATTAATTAATTTTATGATATGTATTTTACAGGTGAAAATAGGAAAGTTGTTGTCCGTAGTAATGTAAAGAAACCTATGGGATTAACTCAGTATGAAGATTTTATATATTGGACTGATATATTGGGTAATTCTATAGAATGTGCTAATAAATCAACTGGTAATAATCGTACTGTTATACATAAAGATCTAAAATTAGTGTTTGATATTACTGTATTCCATGCCTCTAGACAATCAGGTTAGTATTTTTTATTGCAAAATATATTTATCTTTTTTCATATGCTAATGTATAAAATTTTAAAAATGTTACACCAATTCAAATTTCTAGTGTGCTATATGATATAGATTTGAATAATCACTTTCTGAAACAATGTAAAATTGATAAATATTTTTGAAAACATTTTTGGATTTCAGTATTGAGTTATAGTAGTTTTATATATTATTATTATATTTAAACAGGTTGGAATAGTTGTGGTAAAAACAATGGTGGTTGTTCACATCTATGTTTAGCACACAGTAAAGATTGGGCTAATGGTTCTTTTCACTGTGCTTGTCCTACTCACTATACATTAAATGAAGAAAATACAACCTGTGAAGGTATGTTTAAAAACTTTTGGTAGTAGATGAAAGGGATTAATTTGTAATTCTTGGCCATGTGGCAGCCACAGTGGCTAGGTGAGGCAGGTGCTCGTTTGCTAACCAGAAGGTCGTATGGTTCGATCCCAGAGTCTGCAAGAAAATGTCTAGGGATTTTCCAGCCTAGCTTCCCTTTGTCAATGGTGCAGGACAGAGGGTCTGGCAAGAAACAGCGTCCAGTCAATCAGATATGTGTGTACGTAAAAGAACACTAGGCAATTGAAATTTGATGAAAAGTCGGTGGAAATGCCGCTATCCAGTCTAAATTATAAACCTGTTGACTTGAAATTTATATACAGTATTTAAGTTCACGAGATGAAGAAATCAATTGATTTTCAACGAAAATTTATTCATATGGATTTTGTCCTACCAGTAATCAAAATAACAACTCAATTTGTAACTATTTTTTGATATAAATCATACAGGTTCAGTATCTTTGATAATCAAATCTACTATTATTGCTACAGAATATGAAAAAGTTTGAAAGTAAATAATCTGATGAATGCAATTTCAGAGGCTATAAAGTGTTATTGTCGTAGACTACTCCACATACAAAGGATGAGTGTAAATTTTGAATTGGAATTATAATTAAATGTAGAAATACAGTATGTTTTTTTAAAATTTTTAGCACCCAAATACTACCTATTGTTGAGTCAGAAGACCGCGATTAGTAGATTAGTAATGGAACCTGATGATGCTGATGATGCTGATAATCCAGAAGTTGTTTTACCTATACAAAGTCTTAAAAATATAAAAGCTTTAGCTTATGATCCCAAAGATGAGTTTATTTACTGGATTGATGGTAGAAATAAAGTTATTAAAAGAGCACATGATAATGGAAGCAAGGTAGATATATAAATTGACTTATATCGAATATGACAACATCGTTAATCTGCTGAATGATAAACATATAATAGAGCATCCTCAAAAAATTTAGTCTATTTAAAATTATGGCATGATTTCTTGCTTGCTCCAAACCATCTTTGTTTAAGAATTCTTATTGGTTGACACTAGATAAATGTACCATTAAGCCCTGTGGTACTGAAAATACCACAAAATCTTGTCAACCGAGTTAAATTAGTAACAGTGTTTATGTTCATGAGTCAAAGAAATCTATTGATTTTAAACAATTTCCGATAATTACTGATACCCATTGATCAGTTGGAAAAATCTTGTGGATACTCTAATGGCTAATCCATTTTACTTAAAATTTTACACAGTGTTTACGTTCATGTGATGAAGAAACCTATAAATTTCCAAACGATTTCTGGATAGGGCAGTGTATTGCGACTGAAAACGTTTTGCGATAACTTGCAAAAAAGTCAAGCATATTGATATATGTATTGCAATATATTGTGAAATCTGGTTTAAGCAGAAACTAGTGATTTTAATAAACCAGTATGGAAAGGATGATATAAGTATGACTCACGAGTACATAAGAGTTTACAACTACAACCATGGGCCATATATGTTCCATGCCACAGCATACTTTCGATTTTGATTTTTTAAACTCATCAATGTGCTAATGTAGAAATATTCATTCCATTGGTAAGTCAAACATATAAAACACATGTTTTCTTTATTTTAATTTTCAGGTTGAAATAGTGTTACATGAAGAAGGAATACAACCATATGATATAGCTATTGATCCTTATTCTCGTTCATTATACTGGACATGTAATAAAAACAACGTTATTAATGTTACACGCTTAGATCGTACTCCTGTAGGTGTTGTTGTTCGATCGGGTAATATGAAACCAAGATCTATAGCATTATATCCAGAGAAAGGGTAAGATAAGCTTTAATTAATTTATTCTGATAAATAAAAGGCTTGACTGTTTAAGTACAATTTAATAATTGTTAGTGGCATCAGGGCCCTTAAAGCCTTGGGACAAGCAACTCAGTGGGGGGCTGGGCGATATGTTTTTTATTGTACCAACTTTAGTAATGATGATTGAGACTAGGCCGAAAATTCAATCGCTAAATTCTTGGTTCAGAGTGGATCAATTTAACTCAAATTTTCAGTAAACTCCCTTTACATTATCTATTTTTTAACTATTCTAATCTCCCATAATGTATCTTTAAGCAAGCAAACAAATGGAAAAACAAAAATTGTGACCATCAGACGTTATAATGTCAAAAAGAAATTTTTTTCATCAATAATTGTTTATTTTTTCAATACCCAAAATCACGTTGAACTGGATTTTAACAGATCTTTTTGTGCAGTCTTGGAAGCTCACCATCACTGTAGCATTCTACAGGCTCGGACTAGGCCCTGATTACCTGCCGAGGCCTGGTTACCCTGACAGTGATGAGAACCTCAAACGAAAAACAAGGACGAATCGGGGCCCCACGGCGCAAAGGCCCGGGCAGGTGACTTATAGTTTTTAATTCTCCATTTTGACTTAAAAATTAAACAGACAGAATCCGATTCTAATCCTACCCACGCCATTAGGTACCCACATTGAGACAAGTTACCGATTTTCTTCTACTTTACATGTACGTTCAAGTAAAAGTGTATTTTTTTGTATTAGATTCTACCAACAGTATATTTTTAACATTACTCGGCATACTTCTGGGCCCCTGGACAATGCAGATACCAGCATTCAGATACAAGCTTCACAACTACTCATTATCATGATTCATAAAAACTCGTTGATAATTATTTGACTATTGCCATGAATTGTGTTTTATGTTTTAGCTATATGTATTGGACTAACATGGGAAGTTCTGCTAAGATTGAAAGTGCAGCGATGGATGGTACAGAAAGAACAACTTTATTTGAAACTAATCTAGAACAACCCCTAGCTTTAACAGTTGATAAAAAGATGAACAAATTATGTTGGGCAGATATTGCTATACATCGTATAGAATGTGCTGATTTAGGAGGAGGGAACCGAGTAGTTATAGTAGATGAGAAAGTGAATACACCGCGAGGTATCGCCATACATGGTAAATATCTATACTGGTTAGACAGAAGTTTAGATGTCATCGAGAGAATTGATAAAAGTACGAGAAAAAATCGGCGATATGTAAGAGGTAGGATGTCAGGGTTGAGTGATTTAATATCTGTAGAACACAGCCTACCTGCTATAAATCATCCGTGCTCTAATCAGAATAACGCATGTTCACATATTTGTTTAGTTGCTGGTAATACAGATGAGTCTCGATGTTCTTGTCCTGTTAATTTAGTTTTAAAAGCCGATGAGACAACATGTGCTGACCCACCTACATGTCCACCTGATCATTTTACATGTAAAAAGGGAGACGTACATTGTATACCGTTGGTGTGGCGATGTGATAAAATACGTGAATGTGAGGATAATTCGGATGAAGAAGATTGTCCTAAGTGTACAGCATCTGAATATCAATGTGCTAATGGGGAATGTATAGCCGCTGACAAACTTTGTGATGGCATCCGTCAGTGTGGTGATAATAGTGATGAGAATAAGTGTTGTAAAACCAATCAGTTTCGATGTAATAATATGCAGTGTATAGCTAAAGAACTGAAGTGTAATAATGTTGTCGATTGTACTGATGAATCAGATGAATATAGGTGTCCAGCACCGAATGTTTCTAATTCAACACCTACAAATACAACTCACTATGCAATAGCTATTGTTGTTGGTATAGTTCTTTTAGTTATGGTGATAGCCTTTATTTTTGTTTGTCGTCGTAAGACAAACCATGCACCACATGAGGATCATGATATTATGATGGCTAAAAAACCACTCAATCCTCATGTAGAACAGACAACGCCTCCTCATACTCTCTCATCACGAGGCAATAAATCATTAACTACCATTTTATCTTTGGGCTCGGGGAGTGGACCACCTTTATATGATCGTAATCATGTGACTGGAGCCTCGTCCAGTAGTTCAGCAGTGACTCAGTATCCAAAAGAAACATTAAATCCCCCTCCGAGCCCTGTAACAGACAGATCAGTGTATACAGGAGACTTTTACTGTTCATTAAACAGTCTATCAACAGTTCGTTCCTGCCGTCCAAAAAAGCCACACAAAGTGCGACATAACATTCCGCCACCTCATACAACACCGTGCAGTACAGACGTCTGTGAAGACAGTGAACCTTATCCTGGTAAAAAATACTATTTTAATAACTCTGTGGTTGAACTTAGTTACGACTCGGACCCGTACCCTCCACCACCTACACCTCGTAGTCATTATTTTTCAGATGAGATGAGTTGTCCTCCTTCTCCATCTACTGAAAGGAGTTTTTTTAATCCTTATCCCCCTCCCCCTTCTCCTGTTGCCCATTCAGATTGTTGATATTAACTATTTTCTTTGATTCTTGTTTATGGCCCTTTATGTCCCCCCACCTTTCAAAGAATTAAAATGGGTTCATCCGTCTGTCTTTCCATTTGTTACACATTTTGGGACATAATAATTCTGGTGTCAGTTATTATCACATATGCAATAGAACTGATTAAACACATTCCATATATCTTTGTGTCAAAATTATATTTGGAATGTGTTTAACCAGTTCTATCGTGTAATAATGACTGACACCAATATTGTCCTTTAATTGATGTAGAATGTTTAAACTTGGTGTAGGTGTTCATTAAGTTGATGTCTTAACTGTCTTAAGATTTTGTTGCGGCTTTAGAACACGAAAACTCTGATTTCATTGCATGTAGCTTAAAGTGGTGGACAGATTAGTCAAATCAGTCGGTGGTAAATTGCAGCCGAATTCATTCGGCCGAATGATTGGACACACTTGGCAAATCCTTCGCCCGATTCACCACTTTATTACATGTACATCACCTTTTACGTCACATGAATAAACATGGTAGCGACCATGTCTTCAAACAATCATGTGACTTCTCGATATAAGTGATAATTGGCTGATGAATTCTACAATGGGGTGAATGCTTCGCTGGAGCGGACACCACTGGCTAAATGACAGTGGATACACTTGGCGAATTTCGGCACTAATTGATTTGGCTGAATCATTCGGCTAGTGTGTCCACTGCTTTATGAAAAGATAAATGTGCAAATAATTAATGAGTGTCATCTATTTATTTTCGGATTGAGGTGGGGGACATCTGCCTCACTGTTGGTTTGTTATAATACAGACCTATCAAGACTACAAGATTTTCATGCCAAAATTTTTATTTGCTTCTACTTATCTGTGGCTATACTAGTATTACTTTCATATTCCGTATCATATCAAGTAATAATTCCTGCTTTGTATAAATATGTATAATGTCAACATTTAGTTAATGTCTCACTTTTGACCATTAAACCACACTTATTTTAGAATATTGACAAGCTATCATAAAGCTTTAATATTGAGAAATTCATAATGGCTGAAGTATGACTTAAGCTAAGGTATGACTGTTCCATATGGTCCATGGTGTTGATTAACAGAAGAGGGAATAGCAGTACAAAGAAATCTACGCATTATCTTTATAATAATATTCCTAACAGATATACTTGATGTTGGCATACACAGAATAAAAAACTAATCTCATATTATTTGAAGTCAGAAATGGTTCACTATTGAATGTAAAACAGGTCAACAAATGTAGTGTGATTGATTAGTGAATAGATACAAAGCAATAGATAATCTTTTCTCCTTATGTTACTGCCAAAGATCAAAATAATTAATTTTCCTTAACAGGAACACTTTTGTAAAGTGCTCAAAGAATTGTATATATTTTTATTATGTATTTATCACCGTAATATTTTCTCTACTGAAGAGATTACAATACTTGATATAATGGCCTCTGTTTTTTTTTTATTATTAAATGCCAATTGTACATTATACAAATTATATATTCATGGTTGTATTATAGACATGATGTTATTACATTTTTTCTTTTATACATGTATATCATCATCATCAAGCCATTTTTGAAGTTCTGATAGATTTTGAGACATGATCGCTCTCCGGACATGTACATGTAGGCTACACTGTATATCTGTAAACCTGAATTTTAGTTCCTCAACCTTGGATCTAAATTAAGTTCAAAGAAAATCTTTTAATTAAATTTTATAATAATTTAGATCAACACGTACTAAATATTAGTACAATAGTCAGAAAAAAGCAAGTTGTATTTCATTTAGATTTCTTTACATTGTACATTCTTCAAGCTTGAGTATTGAGAAAAACCTGTTCTGTAGTTGAGAGAGATCATGGTTTGAGATTATTATTACTACAGTATTCAGATCACTTATTCTTGATTCATGAAGCATTGGCCATTGAATGGCATTTTTTTATATTATTGGAAACATTTGTCTTCTATTCTTATCATCAAACTTATATCATAAATATCGTATACATGTGTAGAAAACAAATCAGCAAATTTTTATTGTGTGGCATATAATGTATATTTGTTTTGTCTATATCTCTTTTATTTAACAAATATGTTATGTTTTTTGAGATTAGTAAATAACCATATTTACATATTTGTTAAAGAGTGGTCACATTATTCTTTTGAAATATATTAATATAAAATTGTTCTAATATTAATCATTCATCTCAATAGCACTTTCTACCGATGACATCACATAGTACATGTATGTTCAACAATGAGAAAAGATGTCTGACCTTACTTGCCATAATGCTTTGTGGTTAAACGTCAGAATCTATTTTTATCTTCTGAAGAAAGAACTATTATTATGGTTACTGATCTTGGAATTAGAGCTTCAGTTTTGAATTAGCTTTTTGTTAATGCCAGGCTTAAGTAATTTTTTTTGTCAATGACAAACATTTATTTTAATTCACACTTCCATTTAGAAATACATGTATTAAAAATAGTCTCTTGATTTGATGAAAGAAGAATATGGAATATAACTGCTGCAACATGTTAAAAATGATACAAAGAAAGAATAATGATGGCCATATTTTAACATATTGTATTGTCTTTTTATATATGTATATGTACTTACATCTTGCAAAAATCCAAAGCCAGTGCCTTTAACTATTTAATGGAAAATTTATGAATGTTTGTATATTTACATTGTTACTTTCCAATAACAAAATACAACTGCTGTATGTTTGTGTGTCTGTTATTGCCTCAGTTATCTCTATTCTTTCTTTTGTTATTGATAAAACCTCACTCTAAATATTTTATGAGTTTAGATATTTCTTGTCTGTTTTCGCTTTTCTAATTTCATTAACACTTACAATTTAGTTTTGTCTGTGAATATTATATAGAGTGAGGGGATATCTGATTAGTATATTGTGTTTTGTTGTTGATTTCAGTTATTTTAGAATGTTTATATATACATGTAATAATTAGTGCTACCTATACATGTATAGTTTATTATAGTAATATATTATATACTCTTGGCTCTCTCCACATACATACACTTACATGTAATCTACAATATACATTTGTTAGATATGTAAGTGGAACACATTAGGTCTCACTATTAAGAACAAAAATTAAATGATGAAATCTTTTTTCAACACTTTATGATTAGTGTTTTAATGTTTTTATTTTCTATGATGTTGTTTATACAGGTGTTTTTTTCCCCTGCCACGCATGGGAAGCCATTTCTCACTGAAATATAGTGCCTAGTCACAGAACTGGAGATACTTTATAGTGATAAAAAATAGTATATATATTATGTGCAAAATATGCCTAAAGCTTGCGGTAACAGACCGTTTCATTGGCTAATCCCTCACACCACCCAGGACACGTCAATGATAACAACTCTTTCGTATCCTAGTGTAGTAAAGACACGTAAAACAAAATTTTGAACTATAAAAAACGAAACGAAATAGGATCTGTGTTTTAATCAGACTGATGTATTATTATATAAGAGCTACATGTAAATCTGCCTAATGCGTGTCATTTTTTGGCTTCAAATGTTATATAAATAATTATTTAGACATTTATTAGATCATCAGATGGCTGAGATATTAAGTGGATTAGAAAATGTCGGCATTATTTTTGTTAAAATGGAAAATCAAGACTATTTATGCTATATTTTGTCACAATTTCAAACATTCAGAATAAAGTAATTTGACTGAAATTTTCAATATATTCATTTTGCATTATCTACTTTTGAACTATTTTAACAAGAATAGTCAACTCTTTATCTGAATCTTACATAATGCATCTTTAATATCTTTGAAGTTAATTATTTTATTCTACCATTAATATGGTTACATGTATTTCCTTAATATGAATTGTAGTAAAAATGAATTCCTGCCAAATGTGAAAATTAAGAATAGGCTACATGTTAAGAAATGGCATAAGTTCAGTTTTAATTTCAGATCTAAAATGGCTAGCTTAAATAAATGAACCTATTTTATTTCTTGCTTTAATAATGGTGTTATTACTACCTCAGTTAATCAAAAATATTTGTTTAAATCAAAATGGTGAATTAGAAGTGGCATATATACTGTATGTTGATATTAACAGTGTAGTAGTAGCTGTATTATTGTTTCAGGCTTATAGTATATAATATGATGTATGCCTGGTATATTATATATGCACTAGTTTAAAGACCTATGATAAAAAGGGTTTGTTTGCTTTAACACAGTGACTTCTGGGTCTATCAAATTATTTATAATTGGGGAGGAGGTGGAATTAGCTCCTAGCACAATTACAGGAATATATTTAATATCTTTACAGTGTGAACTAGTGTGTAATATAAGACATCTTTGGCAGATCTTTTACTCAGGAAAATCTACTTAAATTGATCCCATCATTTTTTTCTATTGTAAATTTGGGGCTGGTTTTTGTACATTAAATGCTTTACATATATTATGTTTCATGGTTTTATAGTGCATATTCTGTTCTGAACTAATGGATGCCATTATTTGGATAAGTTCAGAGAATCTAATTCTTTGTATATGTAGTATTTATGTATATTAGATATATATCTTTATGTTTGTTTGAATGAATACAGCTTTAAGATAAACAATAAAATTGTCAACTTTAATTTTCTTGTTAAATTTTTTTCTAATAATTTCGAATGAGCCCAGTTCAGCATTATGCTTCCCGCAAACCACCCTTTTATAAGCATCCATTATATTAAAATTATTTATGGAATTATACCAAGTGAGGGAGCTAGCAAGTGACTTTCCTTGCATAATTGTTACAGGGAATATAATGGAAGACTTATCACATAAGAAACACTTAAACTTGCAAGAAAAGTTGCACAAGCTACACTTTTTATACGTCCACATAAAGCCCACATTTTCATGTGGACATATATTGTTGTCTCCCCAGTTCGTCTGTCCACAATTTGTTTATGGACACTCTACAGGCCACAATTCTTATCCGATTTTGACGAAACTTGAAATATAGGTTTATCTTCAAATGATCTCGGATCCTATCGATATTGGCTTGTATCGGATCGAAACTTCATGGATTTTGGCCCCTGGGTTGTATGAACAATCACGTTTTTAGCTTGTGGATACTTTAGAGGTCACAATTTTTATACGCCCACATTGAAATGTGGTCATATATTGTCGTCGCCCCCGTCCATCCGGTGGCCACAATTGCTTAAGTTAATATCCGATTGACTTTAAATTTATACACATTGTTTAAGGTCATGAGACGAAGAAGCCTAGAAGCCTATTGATTTTCAATGATTTCCGAAAATTACTGCCAGAGTTATGGACCTTGATCACTTTGAAAAATCTTGTAGATGCTCTAGAGGTTAAAGTTAATATTCGATTGACTTTAAATTTATAGTGTTTATGGTTATTAGGCGATAATTACTGCCTGAGTTATGGCCCTTGATCACTATGAAAAATCTTGTGGATGCTTATTTAGAGACCATAGTTATCATCTGATTGATTTTATATTTATACATATTTAGGTTGATACACAGAGTTTTAGGTCTCGAGACGAACAAGTACATGTGTATTGATTTTCAATGAAATACAAACTCAACTGTCATTAAGGTGTAACAGTGATATATTCAAACGTTTTTTTAAATCGGAATAAAATTGTGAGCTCTAGAGGGACCTGAAGCTAAAAACGCGATTTTTTGTACAATCAGGGGCCATAATTCAGGAAGTTACAGTCCGATATGCGCGAATATCGAAAGGAACCGAGATCTTTGGGTTATAAACTCACATTTCAAGATTCAACAAAATCGGATAAAAATTGTGACCCCTATAGGGTCCACAACCTTGATATACCATATTCTTACGCTATTTGGGAACGAACGGCAGCCATTTTGTCTGTCAATTTTGGGCCGATTTTCACGAAATTCAAACTCAGTAATCCTTAGGGTGTAACAGTGATATAATAGAACGTTTTTTTAAACCGGATAAAAATTATGACTTCTATAGGGTCCACAAGCTAAAAACGTGATTTTTCGTACAATCAGGGGCCATAATTCAGGAAGTTACTGTCCGATATGCGCAAATATCGAAAGGAACTGAGATCTTTGGGTTATAAACTTACATTTCAAGTTTCAACAAAATCGGATAAAAATTGTGACCTCTATAGGGTCCACAAGCTAAAAACGTGATTTTTCGTACAAACAGGGGCCATAATCCATGAAGTTTCGATCCGATACATGCCAATATCGAAAGCAGCCGAGATCTTTTGGGGATAAACCTACAGGGGCGACGGCATAATACGTCCACATGAAAATGTGGGCGTATAAAAATTGTGACCTCTATAGGGTTCACAAACTTGATATACCATATTTTTACGCTATTTGAGAACGAAGGGCGGCCATTTTGTATGTCAGTTTTGGTCCGATTTTTACGAAATTCGAATTCAACCATCCTTAAGGTGTAACGGATATATATTCAAACGGTTTTTGAAATTGGATAAAAATTATAACCTCTATATGGTCCACAAGCTAAAAACATGATTTTCCGTACAATCAGGGGTCATAATTCAGGAAGTTACAGTCCGAAATGTGCGAATATCGAAAGGAACCAAGATCTTTGGGTTATAACCTTACATTTCAAGTTTCATCAAAATCACAAGAAAATTGTGACCTCTAGAGTCCACAACGTTGATATATCATATTTTTACGCTATTTCAGTAAGAGCTATTTGAGTAAGAAGGACAGCCATTTTGTCTGTCAAGTTTGGGCCGATTTTTAGGAAATTCGAATTCAACCATCCTTAGGGTGTAACGGTTTTTGAAATTGGATAAAAATTATAACCTCTGTAGGGGCCACAAGCTAAAAACACGTTTTTCCGTACAATCAGGAGCCATAATTCAGGAAGTTACGGTCCGATATGTGCGAATATCGAAAGGAACCAAGATCTTTGGGTTATAACCTTACATTTCAAGTTTCATCAAAATCAGAAGAAAATTGTGACCTCTAGAGTCCACAACCTTGATATATTTTTATGCTATTTGAAAATGTGGGCGTATAAAAATATACAACAACTCTTGTTGACTGCTCGGACGATTTAGCTGCCGTGGGCGTATTTTTCGTTGCCTGGCAGCCTATCTGTATCTGAATTTGATTAAACTTGAAATGCATGTATATAACCCAAAGATCTTGGTTCCTTTCCATATTGGTGCATATCAATTGTTTCCTTCCTGAACTATGGCCCCTGATGACCTGATTGTACCGAAAATAGTGTTTTTAGCTTGTGGTCCCTCTAGAGGTAACAATGTTTATCCGATTTAAAAAAACGTTTGAATATATCACCATTACACCCTAATGATGGCGAGTTCGAATTTCGTGAAACTGCCGTACAAAATGGCCGCCCAACGTACGCAAATAGAGTACATATGGAATATCAAGGTTGTGGACCCTCTAGAGGCCACAATTTTGATCCGATTTTTTTATTTAAATTTGTGTTTATATCACAAAGATACTATTACACTATTTGCGTACAAGGAGCAGTCATTTTGTTGGTCAGTTTCGGTCAGATTTTCATAAAATTAGAACTAAGCTGTCATTAGGGTTAACAGTAAATGTACAGTTAAACATGGGATAAAATTTGTGACCATAATTCAAAAAGTTATGATCCGATATGCGCGAATATCGAAAGGAACCAAGATCTTTTGATTTTAAACGTACATTTCAAGTTTCATCAAAATCAGATAAAAATTGTGACCTATAGAGTGTTCACAAGCTAAAAACATGATTTTTCGTACAATCGGGGGCCATAATCCATTTATGATCCGATTTATGCCAATATCTTTTGGAGATCTATATTTTAAGTTTCATCAAAATCGAATAAAAATTTTGACCTGTAGAGTGTCCACAAACAAATTGTGGACGTCCACAAGGACAGGAGCAATGAACGTCCACATGAAAATGTGGGCGTATAAAAAACAATCCTGATAACATTAACAATAGAAGTATATATTTAAGAGATATAATTTAAATACGTGTATATAAAATTAACAAGTATACATACATGTAAATATAAGCTTTTCCATAAATAAAGAATTAAAATCCAGTTTTCAAACCCATCCATTCAATTAGATGAGCGAACGTTCCAAGAAATCACATATCTTGGGCTTGGAGTGATTGAATGTCTAATTTTTGACAACAGATATGGTTAAAAGCAGATCACAGATACTTGATTTATAAAATGATAAAACACTAAAGACACATTTTGACAAAAAGATGATCAAGGCTTCCAGGTTATAACTTTGACCGCAACTTTAGCAGCATTTGCAACAGCTGGCGTTTCATCATTCATTCTTGCTTTTATCTAGAAAACAAAAGCAGTACTGAAATTAATTTTATTATACTTTTCATTATGATAGATCAGCATAGATGAACCATAACAAAGGCTATCTTTATATTTGTTGATAACCGAGCAAAATCTTAATATTGCTTAGTAGAAAAAGAAAGGACAAGTAATCAATAAGGCCACCATTAAGACCCACAATGTGTTAAGAGCGTGTCCGCGAGAGAAACCATGCAGAGGGTGATAAGTGTTGGGTCGGGGATTTGGACCAAATTTTTTCTGTGAGTTTGGTTAGTACCCAGATACATCCGCACAAAACATTAGGTTAATTCAGTTGATAACAATTTGGTAAATTGGAAAATTATTTTTTTTTAATAGAAAAATATTCAAAAAATGGGCTAATTTGGAACTAAATTAGGATCTCTGTTATTTGGACAATAATTGATTTGGGCAGGCGAAATTGTGGGCTTTAGTAGGGCCACCCAGGCTCCTACACACAGAGTTTTAAGTTTCTACTGCCAATGATATCTTGGTACTAGCCAGAGAATCAACTCTCTCTGAAAATTGAATTTAATGAAAACCAAAGTTTGATCAAGATGATTCATTCTGAATTCCAGCCTGTAGACAACAAAAAACACAAAAATTGGGCGTGGCTCTGCCCCTGGGGGTGGGACATGGACCAATATAAATAGGTACAACCCAATGATGGATCATTCCGAAATGGATCCAAATCTGTTAATAATTGCAGTCTATATATCATTTACAGACAAAATGATTAACAAAAAGTGGGTGTGGGGAGGGGGGGGAATCATGCACCAAAATCAATAGTTGCCGTCCTTAGGGTATAAGGATTAAGTATACCAAGTTCCAAGATAATTCATTCAGAATTATGGCCTTCGCTAAACACATAAATCGGGCGTGGCTCTGCCCCTGAGGGTCGGGAATACCAAGTTCTAAGATGATTCATTCAGAACTGCGGCCTGTATACGATAAACATAAAAATTGGCCATGGCTCTGCCCCTGGGGGTCTGGTATTCACCAAAAAACAATAGGCATCATCCTTTGGGTATAAGGAATAGGTATGCAAAGTTTCAAAAGGATCTGTTAAGAATTGCGGCCTGTAGGCGAAACACAGACACACAAAAATTGAGTGTGGCTCTGTTCTGTTCAAGGGGGTAGGGCATTCACCAAAAGAAGGTCTTCCTTAGGGCATAAGGAATAAGTATGAAAAGTTTTCAAGACAATTGATTAAGAATTGCGACCTGTAGGCGACACATCGACACACAAAAGAAAATGGGTTTGGCTCTGACCCTGGGGGTTGGGCATGCACCACAAACAATAGGGATGTTCCTTAGGGCATAAGGACTAAGTATGCAAAGTTTCGAGATGATATGTTAAGAAATGCGGCCTGTAGACGACAAACAAATACAAGAAATGGGCATGGCTCCGCCCCTGGGGGTCGGGCATGCACCAAAAACATTAGGAATCATCCTTAGGGTATAAAGAATAAATATGTAAAGTGTCAAGACGATCACTTAAGAATTATGACATGTAGGCGACACACATAGACAGGGGTGACGGCAATATACGTCAACATTATGAATGGGGACTCATAATTTTGATCTATAAAAATGGGTTTAAGGTCCACTGGACGCAACTTAGGTCATTTTCAGATGAACATATAGTGATGCATATGTTTGGTCATCTTTACTAAGTTTATATATATTCCATTCAATCGTCATCAACTTGACACAAACTAGGTAATTTTGGGACTAACATATGATACAGTTTTATTTCAATAATTCGTGTGCACGAAAAGAGATAATCCGTGAGATTGGACAGACAACACTAGACCATGTTACCTACGCCACTGAACTCTATGACATACCTTATGATCTAAAGCGCATGTGTTAGATCACTTTTGACTTAAACAAGGGGCAAGTTTCATGAATGTCCAATGATATTTACACAGAACGAATCTTATATGAATATGATAATCGTAATCAAATGAAACATCTTTCAGCTCTCAGGTTAAAGGGGGGGTTGGATGGCCGAATGGTTAGCATGTGCGTGCTGATTCATAAGGCCTGTCATTGAGTCAACAGGTGTGGTTTCAAATCCTCAGTTGTACGGGACAAGGAGTAGGGTCGCCTGTCCAACCTCGTGGGTTTTTTCCCACTGGTAAATACCCCTACACACAAACGAATTATTGAAATAAAATTAAAAACCATGTTAGTCCCGAAATGACCTACTTTGTGTCGAGAGTGGACGTTAAACCCCATTTATCTCTCTCTCGGGTTAAAGATCACTACTTGTCAATAGCTGCAGGGTGGTTTATAGCAGCATCCCCAGTACCGTTCTCCTGGCTGAAAATGTTCCGTGGAGAACCTGACAACCGATCACAAACTGTTACGTGTAACAGGTTTTAAGGATGAGGGGGGATTGTAGATGATTGAGTGGCATTGGGCCATACACATGTCATCAGCATGACTACACATGCTAAAATTGATTACCATTATATCTTTCAAAAGGATGGAATGTTAGAATTGCATATGTACACATATATAGAGATGTTAAGTATGGCAATGTTCGATGGGTGCGCCTCTCCACTGTCGACTAATTTAAATGACTGCTGATTATCACCTTTTCTTCCATGGTTGGTTACTTGAACGTGCCAAATAGGCTATGTTTGTCAAAATTATTTTAGGAATTAGACCGCGCTTATTCCCATCTGTATTTAGAAACCAATCAGTAGAAACATTTGGAAGTTTTAATGGAGAGTTATTGAAAATCAGGAGACAACATACATTACATATTGAAATCTACTGACCGAGAAGATGACGTATATAGGTTAAAACATTATTACAAAAATGGGGTCCCAAAACTAAGAAAATAGGAAGGCAGGTCAGGATCTTAAGTGAACACTTCTGCTCTTAAAACATTATTTGTCCTTATATGACAACAATAAAATATGATATTTAATATAATAATAGATTAATAAACTTACTGAATCAACATGCAATAATAACACCTCTCTTCCTTCGGGCGCTTCTGATAAACAAGTTAAAGCCTGCCAAAATAGTAAATACCAATTCAAAATAATATGTTGAGAATTCCAAGTTTTAGATCAAGATAAATTTTAATAATGATAAAAATCAGAACTATCTTGGCCATTAACACAGCATTGCCAGGCAACCAAAATATACCTATGCAGAGCTTTGAGAAAGGGTCAGCAAGGACATCACACAATAATCCCTTATAACTAGCGAAACAACCATAGAAAGTATGATTAAGAAATATCTTTGAAAAACTCTTTGAGATGTAGCTTGTTTTCAAGAAAAGTTAAAAATAGGTGACTGTTGATGACAAATACTCCCACATAATATATGGTTCTATACAAAACATACAAAATAAAATAATGTATATTTACCTTAAGTGCATTAACCCGTACTTCACTTGTAGAATGATTAACCAGTTTAACCAATGGTTCTACAGCATTACCACCAATAGATGTATATTTCCCTTTTGTTGTTATAGATATCCTAGAAATATAACATCAACAGATTTAAACAGATTCATAACATTAATTTTTAAACAGATTTCATAACATTCATTTTTAAACTGATTTTATCGTAAAAAGAACAGATTTTATAAAAATAATTTTCAACTTTCACAACAATGCATGCATTTTCATAAATTTTCAGGGTGATGAGAATTGCGTTTATATCACCAGGATATTCTTATTTTAAAATATTGAACAGCACTATAAATTATGTACACATGGCATATATTTTATTCTTACGTCATAATGGCACCAGCAGCATTAGCAATGACGTCTGCTGATTCATCATTTAATAAATTAATAAGTTCAGGTACTGCTTCTTCTTCAACAGCTTTATCTTTACCAGCTAAAGGTATACTGCAAATTAAACAAGCCAACAGTGAGGCTGATGTCCCCCACCGAAATCCCAAAATAAATAGATGACACATTAATTAATCGCACATTTATTTCTTTCAAAAGTATCAAGCACTCAACTGATTATCAACTATACACTAAGTTTCATCACTCTCTATCAGATAGAATCAAAGTTATCTTGTCCCAAAGCATTGACCAATAAAATTTCTTAGCTCTGCTTAGCTTTAGCTCGAAATGTTAATCATTGAACTGAGTCAAGACATTCACTTAATGAAAATCTACATCAAGTTTTAACATTCTACCTTAAAATTAAAAGCATAGTTGTTATGTTTCTTCATCACTCTCACTTAATTAAAACCAAAGTTATCGTGCCCCAAAGTATCAACCAATCAGATTGCTTATCTCTGCTTACCGTAAGCAGACAATGTTTATCATCAAACTTCATCAAGGCATTCACCTAATGAACACACCTAAACCAAGTTTGAATATTCTACCTCAATTAGGAGAGTTATTGTGTTCCAAAGTATCGACCAATCAAATTGCTTATCGCTCCTCTTACCCTGAGTAGAAAATGCTCATTATCGAACTTAGTCAAGGTATTGATGTAATAAAACTATACACCAAATTTCATCACTCTCACTTAATTAGAACTAAAGTTATTGTGTCCCAAAGCATCAACCGATCAAAGTGCTTATCTCTGCTCACCCTAAGCAGAAAATGCTCATCTTCGAACTCCATCAAGGCATTGACCTAATAAACACCTACACCAAGTTATTGTGTCCCAAAAAGTGTGATGGACAGACGGACCCATTTTAATAGTCCCCTGCTTTCTTTGAAAGGCGGGGACAACTTGGAACAAGCCAATCTTACTTTCTTACTGCGATACAGAGAGGCTGGGTAGTACCGAAGGGCTTACTTATCAAATATTCAGTTATTAAGTTAGATTTCCTTCAGTTCAAGGTAATTAGAGGGCTGTTTCTGGTTGGTCAGCATTAACCAAGTATTGTTTTTACTTTTATATATTCCCTAGTTACATTTTATATTTGCTTGATAAAGACTAGAGAAGATTTGTCGAAATGTCTCTCAGTAATAAGCAGTAATTGTATTCCATAGAACTGTGACCTGTGTATTCCAGTTCAATTACTAAAGGAAGTTAGTTATTGTGTTCCAAAGCATCAACAAATCAAATTGCTCATCTCTGCTTAGTCTAAACAGGCAATGCACATCACTCCATGACATTCATCATCAATCGATGTCACAGATTAAATTATTTTCATAATCAAATGATTAAATGATGTCACAGATTAAAATATTTTAATAATTAAATATCAATTTTAATAATTAAATGATGTCAGAGGCTAAATTTCAATAATTAAATAACGTCAGAGATAAAATTATTTCAATAATCAAACATGATGTCACAGATTAAATTATTTTAATAATCAAATAATGTCACAGATAAAATTATTCTAATAATTAAACGATTTAAAGATATTCAAAACTATTTGACAATGCACTAAACTAATGAACATGTCACAACAGAATTCCTGTATCGCAAAATACATATATTTATTGATTTTTTGACAGCCCTAACAGAATGACACCCTTTCTGGAACAGACATAAAAAGAACAGAATATATCTAATAAGTTTACCTTAAATCCATTATATCTCTAGCAGCTTTAGATCGTATAACTGGTATTTCATGTTTGAGTAAAGATGTAAAAGTTTTCATGGCATCAGATGCTAAGGCTTTAGATGTATCAACTCTCATACAATAGTGTAAAGTATCAAGTATTAATTCCTGTCAATTGAAAACATTCATTTTATCAATACGTTTAAATACCCTTTGGGGTGGAGGTCTGAGGTAAAATAAACATAAAAATGCAACAGGCCATTAATAATATTATTAAATGGTGCTTTAAGTTTTACTGCATTACAATCAAGCCTGGAAATAAGGCACATGTCACAGACAATGTCAGACACAAAACCTCTGGTGCCGGTGATTTTGTCCGGCACTGATTTGTCTTTTTATCTTTTATCTCCAGACGTGAACATAGAATGTATTTGGAAATAACACAATATCAGCTGTTAACACTTCTTATTTGAAAGACATAAGCAGGTTTACCTTAATTTCATCAAGTTCTGTTTTAAGCTTTTCTACTAATGTTGGTACTAATTCACATGCAACAATACCTTCAGCTCCTGAAAAACAGAGAGTGCCATATCTTGATGTTGGGTAAAAAACATATATAATACAATTTTTTTATAAATTGTAATGCAGCAAAACTTAAAGCACCATAATGATAATGGCAAAAATCTATCTTATTATGAATCAATTTGATATCAATACTGAAACAATTAGATGAGATGTTCCCAACCACAAAGGATTGTGAGATGGCATTTCATGAGTAATTAGCCATTAGTCAGCCAGCTGACAGTGTACATTAAGAAGAGGTAGTGGGTTGCTCAGATAGTAGTCTCATTTTATTTATCAAAAGGAGAAAATAACAGAAACATGTAAAATTTTACATAAACACATGTGGGTGAATAATTATTATTACTAGGGGGAGGAAGCAGATTATATAATATATTGTAATGTATTCTTTTGGAATTAAAATCTAACAGCTCAATTTATAGTTGCATTTTGTAGTTGCAGGTTTAGCCTAGTCAAGAAGTAAATTTGTATAGTCATTCAGATATGATGAAAAACCAAGGTCCCATCCATGTATAAAGGTGTCTCAGGATTCTTTAATGTTATCATTTGACAAAGGGTAATCAGTCTATTGTACTTCAGGGACTAATCTGTCTTCTATTTATGTCTACTATCTCTGCATGCACCAGTTTTTGATAAAGCAGCTTTTATGTTATCATTTGACAAAGGGTCTTTAAGAGAGAGAGAGAGAGAAATGGGGTTTAACATCCACTCAACACATACCAGGTCATTTCGGGACTTAACACTAATAAAAATTATGACCTGTAGAGTGTTCACAAACAATCGTGGACGGACGGGGCGACGAAAATATAAGTCCACATGATAATGTGGGCGTATAAAAAGAAAAGAATTTATCAGTAATATAAATGATGTGACTAGTTACTCACCTTGTGGAGTTTCAGAAATCATTTCTAGAGCTTTGTGAGCATTTTTACGAGCGATATCCTCCGAATCATTAAATAAATTTGATACAGGTTTAATTATTTCATGATCTAGAAAAGCATCTCTTCCAATTGCATGACCTTCAAATAAATACAAAAAATAACAATGAAGTATTAGATAAACAATAATATACAAGGCAACAATGAGGCTGGAATCCTTCGCTTTAATCTGAGGCGGGAATCCCTGCCTCCATCCCAAAATAAATAGATGACATTTATTAAAAACATTTTATAAAGCATTGATCAATCAAATTGTTTACCACTGTGCATAACCTGAGCACAAAATGCTCATTATCAAACTTGAATAAATGAATTTTGATTTGATTCCATGCTTTTCAGTGCCAACACTATTGATGCAATGAAACTATACCTACAAAATACTTCAAGTTTCATCTCTCTTCCGGAGTTAACATACATGTACTCCAATGCATTGACAATTCAAATTGTTCATCTCTGCTTACGGTAGTCAAAGTGGAAAATGCTCATCAAGACATCGAACTAATGAACATCAACAAGTTTGAACACTCTACCTCAATTAGAAGACTTACTGTGTCCCAAAAAGTGTGATAGAGGAACAGACAAACACATTTTACTAGTTCCCTGCTTTCTTTCAAAGGTAAAGGACAACCAGTGGTTGCCATGCCCACATTTTGCAAGAGATGGACAGAGAATAAGCCAAAAAAATAAAATCAGGGGCCAGGAAGTTACGGTCCGACATGCACGAATATCAAAAGGAACCCAGATCTTTTGGATATAAACATATATTTTAGGGTTTCATCAAGATCGGATAAAAATTGTGACATCTAGAAGGTCCTCAACCTCAGTATTACATACTTTTACACTATTTGCGTCCAAGTAGCAGCCATTTTGTCTGGCAGTTTCAGTCTGATTTTCACAAACTTCTAACACAATCTTCAATGATGTATAACAGTCATATATTTAAACAGTTTTTAAAAATGAATGCAAAGTGTGACTTCTACTCTAGAGGATCCACAAGCTAAAAACAGGAATTTTCAAACATTCAGGGGCCATAATCCAGGAAGTTACGTTCCGATATGCACGATTATCGAAAGGAACCGAGATCTTTGTGATATAAACATAAATTTAAATTTTTAAAAAGATTGATCAAAATCAGATCAAAATTGTGACCTCTAGTAAGACCACGATATACCACACTATTTGCGTAAGAGGAGCGGCCATTTTCTCTGGCATCTTTGGACCGATTTTCTCAAAATTCTACCTCAACCGTCACTACAGTGTAATGGTGATATATTGAACGTTTTTAAATCGGATAGAAATTGTGACCTTTAGAGGGTCCATTTGCTAAAACGTGATTTTTAGTACAATCAGTGGCCATAATCAAGTAAGTTACAATCCAATATGTGCGAATAACGAAATGAACCATGGTCTTTTGGTTATAAACATACATTTCAAATTTCATCAAAATCAGACATAAACTGTGACCTCTAGCTAAAGACGTTATTTTTCGTACAACAAGGGGCCATAATCCATTAAGTTACAGTCCTATACATGCCAACCGAGATCTTTGGTCAAAATCCAATAAAAATGGTGAACTGTTGAGTGTCCACAAACAAATTGTGGATGGACGGACTGACAGGGGTGACGACAATATACGTCCACATGAAAATGTGGGCTTATAACAAAATTCACATGTTCTTAAAACTAAAGCGAATAAACTTTGGAAGTTGCCTTAGATACATACATCAATGGTAAGCTTATACATTTTTCTTAGGGTCGCCATTGTTCTTATTTTTACATTTTTTGTTGTGGATATTTACAAGGGTTTTGAAATATTCTAGATTTTATTTCAAATATTTCTCTTATTCACATTTTTTGTTGTGGATATTTACAAGGGTTTTGAAATATTCTAGATTTTATTTCAAATATTTCTCTTATTCACATACATTCTACTATTTCTAAAATAAATTGATGACCAAAGGGAATAATAAAAGCACAGAATAGTGTCACTATTATGTTCGGCAAACATCATATGCTCCCTTTTTTTCGTTTTTGGAGATTGTCTTTCTTGATGTGTCATCAGCAAACTTAGGTCTTCTGGGCTTCTGTTTGTGTGTTGCAGTTCTCCTGCACTTACTACTGATTAAAAACTCTAAATCTACTAGTAATATTACAAGTCCTCTCAAAAGCTTCTTAATGTTATATAATTGCCAATTTCAAACCAGATCTGATTGGTAAGCAGTTTTTGGTTATCCAAGAAATAAAGATTAATGTGGATACATAATTTAAAAAAAAACAAAAAAAAACAGACCACAAATTTGATTTATGGTTTGTTGAGATAGTAATATTTGTAAAAACTTCCAATACAAACATATTTACCTGCTATTACAAAGAGGCATTCTGTAGATTTCTGTCTAACTGTAATGTCAGGATCACATAATAATTTTTTAAGACTTTCTGCAATGCCTGAAATAATTCATAAGATACTATAACATGTATGATGAAATATTTATTATTTAAAAATTCAAGAAGTACATTACTAACATTATTAATTTGATTGTATGTTTTATATATAAATTATGATTATTTTTTACAATCTCAATATAGGGATTATTAATCTAAAATTCTATTGTTTATATGGACCAGACAACAGGATTATTTTTGTAACCAGTTGATAAAGGCTTGCACTCTAAATGCTTCCTGGATTAAAACTACTCCATTTCAAATACATTCTTGTCAAGTTTGTTTCTTGGGGAATGTTATTTATCTATACTATATCATTTCTTCCTTTGGTCCCTGATCGTATCACCTAACAGGGTTAAAAATTCACGCAAATCTCCAAATCTAATTCGCACAAGGATTCTCGCAAGAGCTTACTACATTGTGAAACGACAAGGATTCGCGTAAAATTTTTTTTCTAAAAAAACAAAAAACAAAAATCTCGGAAAATTGTCGAGTTTGAATGTCAGTCAGGGTCAGTGTTCATCATGGGGCTGTATTTTGTCGGCTTTAGCCGATTGATGTTTATTCAAGCCGATTGGTAAAACAATGAATCGGCCACTGTGGTATCGCAAATAATCAAACTACTTTTGGCTAAATTACAACGGGTTAATTATTACTTGCTAATTAAGAAGACAATCAACTTGCTTGTCGGCTACAACAGTCATACCTTAGTGAGAATCGACTATATGTGGTTCATAATCCGAGTAATTAGCACATTTAACAGTGATTTTGATAATCCGGTAAAATAAACAAAAAGTGGGCACTGAAGACGGTCTCGGCATGGTTTCCGAATTGAGCGTCTTCCACGCTCAGTCCGTGTGAATTCCAGTTACCGGTAGATATTAAAATAATAACTGGATAATACATTGATGGATTCACTGACCAGTTGTTAGGTAAATTTTATAGCAATTTCAGTTATGGTTGTCACATGATCATTTTGTTTTTTAGTCAGTATTATTAAGATTCGCGCAGATTGCATATATATGAGAATCCTCTTATATTCTCGCAAAAAATGACAAATTTCTAGCCCTGCCTAAATCTGATCTTGCCTACACTGTACAGGGAGTAAGGAGTTAATTAGTTAGTAATGGATGATGTATGATAAATCATAGCTATTAAAATACTAGATCTATTGTCCTGTTAGTCATTTCTACATATTCTTCACTTGATGACTTACCTTCTCTTAAGGCTGTTGCTATATGTTCTGGGTCGTGTAGATGATCACATAAGGACATAACAGCCCTTTGTCGGGTAAGTAATGTATCATTTTGTAATTCTTTATTCTGCAATAAAATTGATTTTTGTTTTTATTACAAGCTTCAAAGGATCATATTAAAATATTTAAAAGATAAAACATACAAAAATCCACTTTAATTTTTTTAATGCAAAGTAAATTTGATGGGATAACACTTGATGAATTTGATCTTGGTGACTGAATATATTACAATATAAGTAAGTTATGTGTAAAAAATGACACTGAATGACACAAAAACTGTTGTTTGACTCTTTCTGCTAATTATACTAAGAAATATCAATCCAAAAATGGTTCCTTTCAGTTCAGTTTTTGATAAACTGATAATTTGTCAGCATTCTACATCTTCTGATGACTGATGAGCTTCTCTTTAATATGTGTGAAACTAATGGTATCAGTAAAGCTTGTTAATGTTATAAATAATGATAAGATATTTTGTGTCCTAATATCTCCGGAACTAAATTCCAAATGCCATTGGATTAATGACATAGTTTTTGATATATTTGGAGATATTTTTATCACTGGACACTCCCAAAGGGGTACAGAATAAACAGATTTTAAACATCTACCGTAAATGGATACATGATTCTGGTGATATTTTTTGTGAGCAAAGTTTCATCTCTCTAGCCCAAACATTTTGGTTTATTAAACACATATTATTTTATGCAAGAGCTAAATCTACCTATTGCAGGTTTTTCTTTAGGCCTGATATGTTATCTAAATTATTAATTAGATATCAAATAGCTTATCAAGACAATAATCAACTCTTGATCGATGAGGCCATCGTTAGCCTGCAATATTTAGTCGATTTGAGTACCTTTTATGATGGATGATTTAACGTAAAAATGGATAGGCCTACTCAAGACTTTATTATCATACCAACGGTAATAATGATGATCAAGGCTAGCCTAAACTATTGATCACTAATATCTCGGTTCAGAGTGAAGCAATTTGACTGAAATTTTCAAAACATTCTGTTTTCATTATCTATCTTTTAACTTTTATAACGAGAACTGTCAGCTCTTTATCTAACCATAACTAATGCCCCTAACTTCACTAACTACGGCCAGTGACTGAGTGAGTAATTGCTATATTGCAAGGTTTAGGCTAAAGCAAGGGTCTACTGTCTGAACCTTCCTATTTTTTGAACAGATTTCTTTGAATGTGTACAAACTATTTAACTTTGGTTCTTATAAACTTACCTGTGTGTTTGAAATCAACTCCGGTTATATAAAATCCACTGCATAATTAAATATCCCAACAAATAAAAAATTTTCTATTGAAAAACTGAACTCCACAAACTTTTGACATCGGGCAATACCAAAATGGGGTGACAGCATGCCACATTGAAACGGTTTGCGGTACACTTACAAAAATCCAAGGTATAAGCATTAGTCTCGCCTCGTTATTGTGTTTGGGCGTTCACACATATAGCTGCCCATACCCCTTTATTTTGTTACCATCTTTTTACATTCTAGTAAAATCCCTGTTTAGTTCATAGATTTTCTTTTGAAATATTTTGTTTTAATTATTTGATTAGTAGCATGAGAGAATTTTGGCTTTAAAATTGTACCCATGTTGGTTGTTAAATTATTTATAATATAAAGAAGATAGGAAAGTTTTAGTTTATATATGACTTTATTTTTACGAGTATCCGTGCAATCATTGATATTTTCATTGTGAATAAAATTTAGTAGACTGGCCATCAATGGTTTCAATATAAATCTTTTATATAATTGCCTTCAATTGATATTTTTCGTTGTCCAAACACAAACAATCGAAATGACCGTGGTTTGTTTTCATTGCAACATGTGGTTGTCAATTCTCTGTCAAAGTTAAACCATTCCTACAACAGCCTCACATTGAATGATTCATTGGTTTCGCCCAATCCTAGTTACTTTAGTAACAAAGTCTTAGAGACCCCTAGTGCTCTCTCTTCGTTACTGGTGCGTCCTAATGACAACATGAAAATAAGGCTTTTCCCCCATCTCGGTTCTAAGGCTATTTTGGAATCCTTACCGTCTATTTTTTTTCACTGTGATTCTTCTTTGATCGCCAAAAGGAATCATTTCTTGCCATATCTGACACAAATTTATACTAAATTCCAGTAGACACAAAAACACTAGAGAAAATAAGGTTGAAAAATACTCTATCAAGAAGAGCAGCAGCAACACAAGACCCAAAAGTAAGACTGGAATATAATAAGGTGAGAAACCAAGTAAAAAATATGGTAAACAAACTGAAGAAGAACTTCGAGAGGGACCTTACAAGGAAAGCCAAAAATAACCCGAAAGCCATCTGGCAGTATATTAACTCCAAATCTAAAACTAGAATAGGCATTGGGGAACTGTGTACAGATCCCAGCAATGAAAAATCACCGACCACAGACGATGATACGCATAAGGCACAGATATTTGCAGATTACTTCAGCAGTGTTTTTACCAAAGAACCAGCAGGTCCAGCACCTGAACTTCCCCCCCAGACGAATCTTGCAGGACATGAAAACACTAAATATATCGAAGGAGGATATAATAGAGAAATTGAATAAACTCAAGGTAGACAAATCACCAGGTCCGGATAATCTTCACCCCAGAATATTGAAAGAGGTTTCGGAAAGTATCTCAGGGCCATTGAGTATTCTATTTAACTACTCTTTGATGACAACAACTGTTCCAGACGCATGGAAAAGAGCTTGCATAAGCACAATATACAAAAATGGAGGCAAAAAAATGGCAGTGAACTACCGCCCAGTGAGCCTGACTTCGATTGTTTGTAAATTAATAGAATCGATAGTGAGGGAGCATATCATAACACACATGAAAGAGAATAACCTATTTTCGAATAAGCAATATGGTTTTATATCAGGAAGATCCACAACCCTCCAACTACTGACTGTGTTGGATAAATGGACAGAAGCAATTGACAAGGGGTTAACAGTTGACTGCATCTACATGGACTACCAAAAAGCATTTGATACGGTTCCCCATAAAAGACTGCAAACAAAATCACATCTTACGGAATCAATGAACAAATCCAAGGTTGGATTGCCAGTTTTTTGAATGGAAGACTACAGCAAGTGACACTAAATGGTGAGTGTTCAAAGTGGGCGCCAGTGACATCCGGAATCCCCCAGGGGTCGGTGCTAGGACCAGTTTGTTATTTTCATCAACGACTTGCCGGACGATGTAAACTCGGATGCATTCCTTTTCACTGATGATACCAAAGTGTTCAATATAATTAAGTCAAAAGAGGATCAAAAACAACTCCAGAATGATTTGAACTCGCTAGAATATTGGAGCAACTTGGCTACTCAAATTCCATCCAGACAAATGTAAACATATGCACATTGGAGGAAAGCACACCAAAGAAACTGAATACACACAAACATACACACTACATATGATAAGATAATAACGAGTTGCAGTAGAGAGAAGGATATAGGAGTAGAATTTGACCCAGACTTGTCATTTGAAACACACATAAGTGAAAAGGTAAAGAAAGCCAACTCAAGATTTGCATTACTGAGAAGAACTTTTCAATTCCTAGACGTGGACACATTTGTGCCACTATACAAAACATTGGTCAGGCCACACTTGGACTTAGCTAGCTCTGTGTGGGCGCCACATAAACAGAAGCATACTAACCTGATAGAGAACGTACAGAGAAGGGCCACCAAAAAGCTACCCTAGGACTCAAGGATCTTACTTACTCAGAAAGACTAAAAAAGTTAAAAATCCCAACACTGACATACAGAAGACTGAGGGGAGACCTAATTGAATGTTACAAAATAGTGCAGGGAAAGTACGATAAAGAGGCAGCACCTCCCCTAAAAATCTGGAAGGACGTGGCAAGGGTTGGGGCTAGTGGAAACTCCAAGAAGATTTTTATCCCGAGAGCAAACAAAACAGTCAGGAAAAATTCCTTCACTATGCGAGTCCCCCCCACCTGGAATGCCCGGCTAGATGATGTGGTCAGTGCGCCGAACATCAACACTTTTAAATCCCGACTGGATAGGTTTTGGCAAAAACACGAATCTTACTATAACTATAAGGTTAAATCCACCGGAACAACATACAATTACTTTGAGTCCAGAGTAGAGGATTGTATAGAACCTGATCTGGAAATCTACCATAAGTAGCCATAAGTATAATGATTTAGTGTTCCACTCTTCACTATTTGTAACATAATAATTACTTATTTCAATCCAAACTGTGATGACGTGTTGAAAATTTTGCAATTGAACCTAATTCTACTTGCTCAAAGCCTTGATAGTGTATCAATTGCAGCCGTAGATAAGAATTATCACGACTAACAATTGCAGCTAGCCCAACACGTGACGAATCGAAAGCAGTGTTTTTCTTGTCCTCTAGTTGTAGCCTAGCCTACTCAACTCAGTCAAAAAGTAAACACGTCAAATTTTTCAAGTAAGAGACCTTTTTTATTCATTGGGATATTTAAAGATACATTATGGCCTAATATGGGAGATATTTATAGAGAGTTGGCCATTCTTGCTATTATAACAGTTCAAAAGTAGATGATGAAAGAAGAATATATTGAAGAATTCAGTCAAATTACTTTATTCTGAACATAGTTATCATCGTTGTAATATTTACCTAGAAATGGTAGCCAAATGTGTCTTCACCTTCGCCGAACGTTTGATTGACAGTCGATAACTCCACCTACATATCTCGATTATCAAGTAAAGTTTTCAATGGCATACGGAAACGCTTTACAGCGGCCTCGCTAAGTACACTATCATTTAGCCTCGATCTAACTGACGTATTTTCATCAGGTTACCCCTTATCTGATTTAATCAATTAGTGAAATCCTATTTAAATCTGAGCTGTAGCCGAGCCATCCGTGGGTCTACAGAGTTGATTTTGGTCTTCTTGTTTAAATAAAGATCTAATTTATAATTTCTATAACATCTGAAGCCTAATTATTAAGACTTGCAATAATCAGATTTAGCTCTTGCATAATGCATGTTTAATTGTGCAAATTTTATTTAACCGGAGTTGATTTCAAACACATAGGTAAGCTTATAATAACCAAAGTTACATAGTTTGTTCAAAATCGAAGAAATCCGTTTAAAAAATAGGAAGGTTCGGACAGGAAGTGAGTAGGCCTAACTGTCTTTAATAATAATGATATCAAAACAAGATACTTACTAAACGGGGTATGGCTCTTGCGCCAAAGGCAAGGGGTGTTCTCGTAGGATCGATCTGTGGTGGGTATTTAGCAGATATTCTTGTTAATGCCATGTTGTCAAAAGCAAAGAAATTAATATTATGTTATTTACATCACAGTTCGCTATTCATTTTATTCGCCAATTTCAGCATGCCGTTCCTAGGATACAGCGCATGCGCACCCGTAACAGGAATCTAATATGGTTATCTTCGTATTTTGTAAGACTAGATTTCAATAGATACCTATACCGTAGGTTTTATTGAAAAAAGGAATCTTGAAATGTATGTTATTTTTGAATAGAATAACACTGATACTGAGAGTATTGCATTCGCCACCATCATATAAATACGAAACTAATGACAGGCACCAGGCACCTTTGAAGGCGGCAGTTCTAAACAGGAAATTAGGAAATTAACGTCGTCACTGACGTCCGATAAAAAACCCCACTAATTCTTCTCAGAAGTCAACGTTCATAGCTAATGAATGTTACCCAGTTGTGGAGGAAACCAACCAGATTTTCTCTGAACATTTCCATAGGGTACAGTTCGTTGTTCCCTCCTACGCCTTAGCCCAACATCATATTTCCTTACACAAATAATAATAATAACACTACTTGAAGTACTTCAGTACTTACTCACTGTCTGAACCGTGGTAAATTAGGGCAACTGAATTTGTTAAAAAAAAACATGCCTATGTCACGTTTGAGATCACCTCTGGTTGAATAAAATCCATTGCACAATTGAATATCCCAACGAAAAAAAAATTCCCTCTTTAAAAGTCAATGATTTTGCTTGTATTTTCGACTAAGTTCATCACAAGATTGTACATGTCACGTGATGAGCAAAACCATAATATATTATATTGAATGAAGGGCGAAGGGGGCAACGGTTGACAAATTTTGACAGTCGCAACAACGCACGACCTTTAACTGATGGTTTGAGTTTGGGCAACAAAAATGACATCTGAAGACAATAAAATTAATTTGGAAACAATTGATTGTCAGTCTACTAAATTTTATTCACAATGAATATATCACCAATTAGGCTACACGAATACTTGTAAATATTGCTTTTCACATCATCATCACCCCATAGCCTAATTGTAAATACCCTGTATATTATATATATTTTAATAAATTATATTAGGCCCTACATCCCTGTCAATTATATGCAACTCTGTGGCTAACATTTATAAATAAATACACTTTATTTCATAATTTTAATTGATAATATTTTATAAGGCGGCAACTTATCCCAATACCCTGGGGTTATTAGTCCATTTTCAAAGTTTTATGATTTCCACAGAAACTATGAAAAAAGGCCACCGCTTCTCAATAATTTCCATGTTTAATTCACGTTCTGACTGTTCACGTCAATAATATTCCCGATTAAATTACTTTTTTTTTTTGGTTTATTCGACAGATACTGAAATCTTTCTTTATAAGAATAGTTCGGGATGTCTAAACATCGTTTATCGTCTTTATAAAAATGTATTTAAAACAAAAAATCATTTGTCAAATAAAAGGGGTATTGCAGATTGCATGTATTATTGGGTCTAATTGTGTGTTAATTATGCAGATAAACTGTTCGGTAAAATAAGATTATGATTTCAGTGTTCCACTCTTCACTATTTGTAACATGATAGCTAGCATATTTCCATGCAAACTGTGATGATATGTGTTGAGATTTTTGCAGTTGAACCTAATTTTACTTCCGCAAAGCCTCGAATAGTGTATCAATTATTTCAATTCGTATCATAATGTGAATAAATTAATTGAAGACGCTAAAATTAAATTTTACTCTGATAAAATGGAAAATGGTGAAAACAGACAAAAAGAGTTGTATAAAGTTGTGAATTCCCTTTTGGATCATAAAGCTGAGTGGACCATTCTCCCGGACAATGAAAATGACACTGTCTGAACTTGTGAATTTGTTCTCAGATTTCTTTCAAATGAAAATACAGAAAATACAAACAGAACTTGATGATTTTTTAAATAAAACTATTGACTTTAACGCTTATGATTCTGTTTATTTAGAAAATTTTAACTTGGTTAGTGAATCTTTTGTTTTAAAGCTAATTAAACCGTCTGCTTTGAAATCTTGTTCATTAGACCCAATCTGTTTCACAGAGAATTACGAGTCTAGTAATATATCTCTGTCAAAGATGACTGCCTTAACACGTGCCGTCACAGCACGCAGCGTCAATCATTGGCTGAATGGCGTGTGCATTGTTTACATAAGACGTTACTGCTTTGGGGAGAATGCTGCATTTTAGTCATTGTAATACCCATTTACACTAAATAATAAATAATTTTTACCTACAAATACGTCAAACGCCTTTATTTATTTTTCCAATACATAAAAAAAATGTTTTAGAATTTAATTTGTCGCAGGAAAAAAGTTAATATTACTGGCTCATTAAGCCGCATCGATGTCATCCTTATCAGTGATTGTAGCGGCCTAGCAAATATTCACTGCGGATCAGTGTGCATTAGACCCTGTTCCGACTCCTGTTCTTAAGTTTTATTTCTAAAATATTGGAGAAATGTATAGCTTCTCAGATAAAGGCCCATCTAGTTGATAACTGTTTGTATGAACCATTTCAAAGTGCTTATAAAAAATTTCACAGTACCGAAACAGCTTTAACCAGGGTTTCAAATGATATTTTAATGGAAATTGATAAAAGAAATGTATATTTTAAATTTTATTAGATTTATTTGTTGCTTTCGACACAGTGGATCATTCTATTCTTTTACTTCACGGATTATGGCCCCTGATTGTATGAAAAATCACGTTGTTAGCTTGTGGACACTCTAGAGGTCACAATTTTCATCTGATTTTCATGAAACTTGAAATGCTTGTTTATAACCTGAAGATCTTAGTTCCTTTCGATATACGCGCATATGGGATAGTAACTGCGTGAATTATCGCCCCTGATTGTACAAAAAATTGTGTTTTTAGCTTGTGGTCGCTCTAGAGGTCACAATTATTATCCAATTTAGAAAAACGTTTGAATATATCACTGTTACATGGGAATATGGGTTGAGTTCGAATTTCTTGAAAATCGGACCAAAACTGCCGGACAAAATGGCCGCCCCTCGTACAGAAATAATGGAAAAATATGGTATATCAATGTTGTTGACCCTCTAGAGGTCAGAATTTTGATCTTATTTTGATGAAAATTGAAATGTATGTTTAAAACACAAAGATCTTGGTTCCTTTCGATATTCGCCCATATCGGATCATAACTTAAAAAATTATGGCCCTTGATTGTACGAAAAATCGTGTTTTTAGCCTGTAGTCCCTCTTGAGTCACAATTTTTATCCGATTTTAAACAATGTTTGAATATATCACTGTTACACCCTAATTGCGGTTGAGTTCGGATTTTGTGAAAATCTGACCAATACCGCCAGACAAAATGGCAGCCCATTGACCGCAAATAGTGTAAAATTTAATATATGGTATATCAAGGTTGTGGACACTCTAAAGGCCACAATTTTGATCCGACTTTGATGAAACTTTAAATTTATGTTTATATCACAAAGATCTTGGCTCCTTGCAATAATCGTGCATATCCGAACGTAACTTTCTGGATTATGGCCCCTGATTGTTCGAAAATAATCTGTTTTAGCTTGAGGACCCGTTACACATCAATGAATGTTGAGTTCGAATTTCGTAAAAATCTGAAACTGCCGGACTAAATGGCTGTTCCTTATACGCAAATAATGTAAAAGTATGTAATACCAAGGTTGTGGACACTCTGGAAGTCAAAATTTTTATCCAATTTTGATGAAACTTGAAATGTATGTTTATAATCCAAAGATCTTGGTTCCTTTCGATATTTGTGCATATCGGACCGTAACTTCCTGGATATGGCCCTTGATTGTACGAAAAATCATATTTTTAGCTTTTGGACCCGCTAGAGGCCACAATTATTATCCGATTTAAAAAAAAAAGTCCGAATATATCACCGTTAGATCGTAAAGTTGGTTGAGTTCGAATTTCATGAAAAGGGCGACTCTTCAGAAAGTGGTCCTGACATGCTATAAATTAGATATATAAAAGTAACTCAAAACACTTATTTTTCCAAAAGAACATATTCATTACCATTTTAACATATCAAAATGTCATTGATAATACACAAATTTCATCAAAAAATTTCATTACAGAACTGGATAACCCAAAATACCTGTTTTTACATTTTATGTTTTATATCCTTCAGTCTCCTAATCAGACAACTTTACATTTCACATCCCAGGGGTCACACACGTAACAGAATTTAAGTCACACACCTAACGTGATTCTTAAACATATTACAGAAAACTTTATAAGATTAACACACATCTGAAAAAAGTACCAGCAGCAGTGATTTATATTAACGTTTAGTTTAATAAATAGTGGACACAAATACTGAATAGGTCTAACTTCACAGAGTTTTACAAATTTGTAAATGTACTAAATATTTTAAACTTCTCCAGGTCACACACGCAACTCTCCATATTGGGTTTGATAAAATTTGTACTTATGGTGTTATGCAAACTACAGATCTATCTGCAATATTCTGCAGGAATTTTTAAACCTTTCCCATATTAAATAATAATTGTTACAAGACTAATATGTAAAAATCAACCCGCCCCTCATACACAAATAGTGTAAACATGGTATATCCCAGGTTGTGGACACAATTTTCATCTGATTTTGATGAAACTTAAAGTGCATGTTTATAACCCAAAGATCTTGGTTCGTTTCGATATTCGGGCATATCGGATTGTAACTTCCTGAATTATGGTCCCTGATTGTACAAAAAATCACGTTTTTAGCTTGTGGTCCCTCTAGAGGTCACAATTATTATCTGATTTAAAAAATGTTTGAATATATCACCGGTACACCATAATGATGGTTGAGTTCAAATTTCTGGAAAAAAGTTCTGCTCTTCGTACGCAAATAGTGTAAACATCTGGTATATCAAGGTTGTGGACCCTCTCTCTAAAGGTTACAATTTTGATGAAATTTGAAATACATGTTTATAACCCACAGATCTTGGTTCCTTTCGATATTCGCGCATATCGGAACGTAACTTCCAGTATTATGGCCCTTGATTGTACAAAAAATCATATTTTTAGCGTGTGGTCTCTTTAGAGGTCTCAATTTTTATCTGATATAAAAAAAAAACGTGTGAATATATCACCGTTACATACTAAGATCTTGGTTCCTTTTGATAATCGTGCATATACGAACATAACTTCTTGGATTATGGCCCCTGATTTTTCAAAAAATCGCATTTTTAGCTTGCGCATTCTCTAGAGGTCACAATTTTTTTTTTCGATTTTAAAAACTGTTTAGATCACTGTTCCACCATAATGAAGGAGTTAAATAACTATGGATTTGGCTACAACGTCCAAATTTGTTTGGAAATTGCATTTTGAGGGTCATTTTGACACAAAAACGTTACGATTGTAAATTAAAAATGACAATTTGGCATAAAGAACGGTATATTATCGAATATCCATATAAATTATTGTCTTTATATAAGTTGACCAAACTCGTGGGTTTTCTCCGGGTCGTCTGGTTTCCTCCCACTGGTGAGGAACCCCTACGCGCAAGCAAATTATTGAAATATAATTGAACCATGTGTTAGTCCTGAAAAGACCTAGTTTGTGTCGAGTGGACGTTAAACTCCATTTCATTATCAGTCTTATAATAAGTTGAGATAATGGATTTGGGTGGAATTGGGTAAATCATGCTAACGGTACCCATGTCCAAGCAAGTTTGGAAGTTGTAACCAAGGAACGTTACTTGTGTATTACATGAAATTGCATTTCGGGAAGCATATTTGACACAGAAATGCTACGATTTAAAATTAAAAAAAACAATTTGGCATAAAGAATTGTTTATTATCATATCAATATAAATTATTACGATATGAGTTAAAATAATGGTGGATTTGGGTAAATCGTACTGTACTCATTTATTGAGACACAAACTCTCCAATTTCTGCATTCACGAACAAACTGCCTTTTATAGGTCTACATTTGGTAGCCCAATTAAATATCATATTTCTCTATTTTAGATACTGATATAATTATGAAGAGGTATTAAAGAAAAGTAAACTCATGAAAAATACTGGCATTAAACTCAAAAATATAAAAAAAATTGGTACCGAATCCAAAAATAAATATAGAGATTCAATATTAAAAGGTAAAACTGCAGTAATCTTTTTATAATCAGTCATTTTTATACGCCCTCATTTTCATGTGGACGTATATTGTTGTCGCCCCTGTTTGTGGACACTCTACAGATCACAATTCTTATCCAATTTTGACGAAACTTGAAATATAGCTTTGTCTCCAAACGATCTCGGTTGCTTTCAATATTGGCATGTATCGGACCAAAACTTTCTGGATTATGGTTCCTGATTGGTCTAAATATCACATTTTTAGCTTGTGGATTCTCTAGAGGTCACAATTTTTTTTTCGATTTTAAAAACCGTTTAGATCACTATTCCACCATAATGAAGGTTGAATTGGAATTTTGGGAAAATCGAAATGAAACTGCCAACAAAATGGCCGCTCTTAATGTATGCAATTTGTATATAAGTATGTAATTCAAAGGTTATGGATCCTCTAGAGGTCACAATTTTTATCCAATTTTGATGGAACTTAAAACATATCTTTATATTCCAAAAATCTCAGTCCCTTTTGATATTTGCTCATTTCAGACCATAACTTTCGGGATTATGACCCCTGATTGTACAAAAACTCGTTTTTGTTTTTAGCTTGTGGTTCAGTAAGATACTACTAAATGACAAGCTCATTTGAAGAAGAACAGTAGAATATGAATATAAATAAGACAAAAGTAACTTATTCAAGAAATTAAAAGCAAACAGCGTCATGCTGTTACTCTATCCAGGAGATGATGCATGCACTTGTACTATTTGCTTTTTATTTGCTGCACTGTTATCCTAATTTTATTGTCCTTTTCCCCCAAAAGTTTTTCAGGCAAGACTACAATCTCCAAATGGAGGAGGTGCAATTCTGGTTAATATTGATAAGAACTTGATGCCAACAAATTGTTTTGAAACACAGAAAGCAGGTTCAAAATTAACAAAACAAGATGTGAAATGTATAACAAAATCTAGAAAATCTGGTTCTGAAATCATTAGTAAGCAGTCTCAAAAAAAATCACATATCACAAGTCATGAGAAAAAAGCGTTAGAATTGGAAAAAACAGTAAAGAAAAAACAAAGCATCTGTGTTGGAAATTGTGATCAACATGTAGCTATCACAACAGATAAATCAAGTGATTTAAGTATGGATAGCCCTGAAAATAACAGACCAAAAAGAAAGAAAAGAAAAACTCGAGCCCAAAGAAACAAATTAAAACCAAATAATCCAAGTAAAAAGGTATATTTTGTTTAGCCTTAATCGCAAAGTACATTAAATCAAATTCCCCGTAGAATGTTGTAATTATTTCTAGAAACATTTAAAAGCTTTAATCTCATCAGTAATTTAGTATTTCAGATTTAATTAATTGCATCTAGTTGAACATGTAAACACAAATTATTATTATTTTTATTTGAATTCAAATGAAAAATATTGTACAAAATTTAGTAAAAGTTAAACATATTTCTTGAATAAATGTTATATTGCATGCATTTTTTATACACCCACATTGAAATGTGGTCATATATTGTTGTTGCCCCCGTCCGATTGACTTTAAAGTTATAGTTATACACAGTGTTTAAGTTCATGAGATGAAGAAGCCTGTTGATTTTCAACGATTTCTTATAATTACTGCAAGAGTTATGACCCTTGATCACTTTGAAATATCTTGTTGACGATCTAGAGGCTAAAGTTAATGTCCGATTGACTTTAGATTTATACACAGTGTTTAAAGTCATAAGACAAAGAAACCTATTGATTTTCTTTAATTATCAATAACTACTGCCAGAGTTATGGCGCTTGATCACTTAGAAATATCTTGTGGACGCTGTAGAGTCTTAAGTTAATATCTGATTTATACACAGCGTTAAAGGTCATGAGATGAAGAATCCTATTGATTTTCAATGATTTCTAATAATCACTGCCAGAGTTATGACCCTTGATCACTCTAGAGGCAAAGGTTAACATCCGATTGACACAGTGTTTAAGTCCATGAGACAAAGAATCCAATTGATTTTCAATGATATTCGATAATTACTCTCAGAATTATGGCCCTTGATCACTTTAAAAAATCTTGTGGATGGTCTAGAGATCAAAGTTACCATCCGATTTATTTTAAGTACGATCATGAAACGAAGACACCTATATATTTTCAAGGATTTCCAATAATTATGCCAGAGTTATGGCCCTTGATTACTTCGAAAAATCTTGCGGATGCTCTACAGGCCAAAGTGATCAATCGATTGACTTTAGATTGACAGAGTTTAAGGTCTTGAGAGAAACAAGTATATTGATTTTCAATGATTTTTGATAACTTGAACAGCTAAATCCATAATATTAAATGTTTTGTATACTAAATGTTAACATGTGGCAGAACTAGAAGCCAAACAAATTCTAATGATTTTCTGATAATTACTTAATGAGTTGTTACTCTTAATCATATTTCCGTGTATTATAAATGTTTCATCACCGACAAAAGAAAAAAAGTATGCGACAACTTTTATTGACTGCCCAGAAGACTTCTGCTGTGGGCATATGTTTTGTTGCCTGGCAACCTATCTTTAAAACAATCTCTCTTTTTGTAATTTTTTCAGTGTGAAAATAATCAAAAGACATCAACAGTTACTAAACACCTATCAAGTACACAAAATTTATCAAATGTTAGTAAAGTATGCCAGAAATAAATAAGTAAACGTTCGGAAATCATTGAAAAAGAGCCTTAAAAATCAAGCAAAAAAGCCAGTTGAACATGCGACTCAAAAATTGTCAAGGCGAGCGAGTTATTGTTAAAATGGTATATTTCACTCCTGAAATACGGAATATATAAAGTTGGTACATGATGGGAAAAAAGACGAATCTATTCCCTAGCTACTTCACTATTTAAGCCTTGTAACTTGTACCTTGTACTGTCCACACATGAAACAATGCTACATCAAGTTGCACTCATGCGCGTTGGTGATGGGCATGAGTGTATACACCGCCGATTCCACAAAATGCTATGATTGATGTCTGTCTATAGTCACTCTATAGGATTAGGGCACCGTCACCTAAACAACAAGAATTCATTTGAAAGTGAAAGCATTAATTAGACCAGACTGGTGTGTTTGAGTCGATGGTTTGAGTCATTTGGGATCCCTACGACGGGTTGGGAATTGACATATTTGGGCCTGAGAAAAGGCACTTTCAGCAGTAAAAAAGGGCACTGTAAGCGTGCCCCTCGCGCCCCCCCCCCCCTTGGTTCCGCCTCTGGTCTGCAAAAACATATTATTATATATTTGAATTCACTTTCAGATGGTAAATACTACAGTATATGATAGTGATTTAGCTTTTTCTAGAATAACCAATACACGATTAACTGTAAGTACATATGATTCAGTTTATGTATGATTTGAAGATGTTTAATGATAGGAATTAGAATGATTATTTTCGAACTATGGGCTTGTCAACTTGTGATTCGACCAGGTTTGTTAAAGCGATAGTTTCTAAGAAAATCAAAACATAATTATTTCTATATCTATTGTTTAATAGATATAACAGATTTGTGTTCTACTGTGGATAAAGTTAGCGTTAAGCTGACTTCCATTTAATCTTTTCGAAAGCCAAATTCAGTCAGATATAATAGAACTAGTCCCATAACATCTCAAATAATTCCTTTTCATTACATTATTTTAACCTAAATTAAAGAAATTAGCTCTTTTAATGGATAATTGTTAATAGATTGGGTGTCCGTTGAGTTATTTATTGAAATTGATACAGGTTGTCTGTCTCATTGAAACATAGAAATCTATTGATTTTCATCATTTTCAATAATCACCTCCTGAGTTATGCCCCTTTATAGGCTAATGTCTGAAATTTACATTGTTTTTCTATTCTATTGAAATGAAGAAAAGAAGTCTATTATTTTTGAACGATTTTCAGTAATAACTTCCAGAGTTTCCATTGCTCCCATTTTTTACAAAATATTATTAGGCTTTAATTATGATCTTATAGTTTTATAAGTTGTTTAGCTCATAACTACTTGGACTTCTGGTGGGTATCTATCTGTTTGTTGCTTGGCAACATATGTATGGTGTTATTTTTGTTTTTCAGAAACGGTTAGGCCTATTTAATCAAGGAAAGAAATCTATGAAAATTGGCAGAGGTAAATTATTTTTGATTGTAACAATGTAATAATATGACACTACATATGAAACTGATGACATTTTTACACGCCCACATTTTCATGTGGACGAATATTGTAGTCACCCCCATTTGTTTGTGGACACTCTACAGGTCACAATTTTTGTCCAATTTTGACAAAACTTAAAATGTAGGTCTATCTGCCAAATATCTGTTCTTTTCGAAATTAGCATGTATTGGACCATAACTTCCTGGATTATGGCCTCTGATTCTATGAAAAATAACATTTTAGTTTTAGCTTGTGGACACACTGGGGATCACAATTTTCATCCAAATTTGATGAAACTTGAAGTGTATGTTTGTAACCCCAAGATTCTGTTTCCTTTCGATATTTGCACATATCGGGTCGTAACTTCCTGAATTATGGCCCAAGATTGTTCGGAAAAATTGCATTTTTACCTTGTGGACCCACTAGAAGTCACAATTTGTATTCAATTTTAAAAATTGTTTGAATCACCGTTATACATCAATGAAGGTTGAGTTTGAATTTTGTAAAAATCCGACCAAAGTTCACTGCCGGACAAAATTGCCGCTCCTTGTACACATATAGCAATACCATGGTTGTGGACCCTCTAAAAGTCACAATTTTATAACCCAAAGATCTTGGTTCTTTACGATATTTGCACATATTAGACCGCAACTTAAGCGACTACTGACAACATGTAGTAACCACAATTAACATATTCTAACACAGAAGCCAGTTAGCAAAAGCTCAGAGATCAGTTCTACACACTATCCATTCAGTAGTGATAGTCCACAGATGCCGTTTGTCAGCTCTGAATTTTCAAAATTTTCTGAGGGAGGTCCCCAACACAGAATCTGTCTCGGCGCCTTTCCATATTCTCGCATTTTCTGGATTTTGGCCCCTAATTGTATGAAAAATCGCTTTTTTTTAGCTTGTACTCTATCCATCTCTTGCGAAATATAAGCGTAATTTGCCTGGCAACCACTGATTCCGTTTTGTCATGGTTAGGGTTTGATATTGATATAATGAAACAAATATAAAGATTGTCTATTATATAGAAAAATCCTATTATACTGTTGTAACCTATCTTTTTCATCTGAATATTTATGAAAATCGAAAATCTATTGCTGTTACTAACGACTGGGAATTTTGCAAGCATTTCTCAAACCTAGTGGAACAAACATTGTCTTAATTAACAGATGACAGCGCATGCTATTTGACATTACTTCTATACATTCTAGGGTGGTCGGTGGTTGCTGTCATGTGTCATCCAATCATCATATATTTCTCATTTATAATGGGAAACCACACCTCTATTGGCACTTATTCCAGAATATTAGTAGTCTGGTATTCCTAAGAGTCACATAAAACGTAAAAGAAGTTAGAATTGAAAAAAATACAAAAAGTAATAATAATTGAACCAACTAAATCACGTGTGTATAGGAGCAGCTCCACATCAGTCAGCCTAAATAAAAATTGCTAAGTCTTTAACTCAATATCATCCACAGTTTTCGACATTGAAAACACGAATTATTTGTCAATTTGAATCAACATTGGTGTTGTGATCTTACCGGGAAAAGATTGGCTTCTGATATCCAATATTTAAGACAAAATAAACATTTTACTATTGGTACACGAATTGTGTACCAGAATGTGTTTCAGCGCCATTTTGTAACAAGGGACTCGAAGAACAAGGCTCGACATATTCCACAAGTCATGTCAAAGGGTGACGACAAATTTCTTATTTGGAGAGCATGCGCAATAAATATTACTTTTGTAGACTGGATAACCAGACAATAGAGATTACCATTCGATTGAGACTTCTGGTGTATTTCGCCAAACATAACTGATTTGAAATTAGAGTAAAAATGGAAACGATTGAATTTAAATCAGTTTATATACATTCATATTACATTTTAATATGCGTTTTGACCCATTTGTATCAATTTCTAGGTCCCAAATATTAGCAATTTAGCTCCCTTAACATCAATACATCTATACGATGTGGTCACAGGAGTGGTGGTAAACTAGCAGTTAACTTCTGCACATCATGGAAATTAATTTGGTAGCAAAAGAGTTAATGCTACATGTCATTCAAAAATTCATCCATGTTTATTATTCTAAACTATTATTAACTTAACTTGAATATTTTTTTTAGATCCTATTGTAGTATCTAACTCAATACGTAAGAAGACTGATGCTGATCTATGGAAGATAATACATAATGCAGATGATGATTGTAATCAAATGGATGTTGATTATGATATTCACTCACCAAAGTAAGATATTCACTTCCTCTAAACTCACTATATACATTAAAAATAAAAGACAGAAATAATGATTGATGAAGAATTTGCGTTTTTGACATTTGATTAAAAATAGAAAATAAAGTAACAAAGTAACTTTTGAGGTTATTTTTTAATTATCTGTTGTCTGTACTAGTATTCATGTTCACTAGGGATGGCATAATGAGTGCACTTTATATCAGAAGGTCTGTCAATGAGTCAAGTGGCATAGGTTCAATCCCAAGTTTGTACATGACAAGGAGTAGAATGGATTGCTCAACCTTTTCTCCAGGTCATCCCACTACTAAAGACCCCTACATGCAAGTAAATTATAGAAATAAAATTGTACCATATGCTTGACCTGGTAAGTGTCGAGTGGACGTTAAATCTTCACTCTATTATATTGACTATAAATGTCTACATTTCATAACTTACACTTTGATCTTTCAGTCCAATAAATGATCAGTTATCAACATCAAGAGATCACCTATCAACTGTAGAACAAGTATTACCTAATCCTGTTTATATAACTCCTCTATCTAATTCATTACCTAATAGACATCATAGGTAGTATACTTTCTTTTCCAAAGTTTCACCCCATGTATGCTCAGAATGTATTCTGATGAATTGTGTATTGTGCTGTGCTATTTTATGTTATATTCTGCCTAAATGGATGTTAAATGGCTGAACAGTGCTCTACTGTTTAAATGAAATGAAATGGGGTTTAACATCCTACTGATCTGCTCCTAACCTGGGCTAATGTAGACGGGCATACGCTATACAGTGTGCTATTATGAGGGAAATTTTGCCCGGGCAGCGGCGCTACGGTCTACTCTTATATCGAAATCCAACTGCCAAGGGATCTTTTACGTGCACGCTAATGTGTACACGGGACCTCGGTTTTTCATCCCATCCAAACGACTAGACTGCTGTCCTTGTCAGGCCCTCCGTCCTGCATCATTGACAAGGGGGAAACCACGCCGGAAAATCTGGATGAACTTGTCAGGCCCTCCGTCCTGCATCATTGACAAGGGGTAAACCACGCCGGAAAATCTGGATGAACTTTCTCGGCCAATGCAGGGATCAAACACCTGACCTCCAGGCTAGCAAGCCAGCGTCTTACTCACTTAGCCACATGATCCCCGCTCTACTGTTTAAAGAAATATTAGCAATGTAAAAAATGTGAAGGAGACCTCTAAGTAGATTTTTTTGTTTTCTTTACTGATTATTAGGCCAGCAAGTGAGTGTAATGTTTAAAAATGACATTTCTTTTGTTTTAGTTCTGCCACATCCACTGGAGTTTCTTCTGGTACAGCAAATTTTACTGGAGAAACTATGCCAAACGTAAGTCATTTTTGTTTACCAAAATCAAATTGCAAAAAAGCAGTTTTATTTTCTGTATTGTATTGAATAAATATACAGTTTTATGATTTAGTGAATGGTCCGATATGGCACCTATCAGTTTTAGCGATATCAGATATTGACAGCGAAATGTATCGGCCCGATACAGATAAAATTACCGATAGTGGTGGATATAAAACCATTACACATTAAAATGTCTCTAATAGTATGATAATCTATGTAGAAATTTGTCATTGTTAGTCGGGAAACGCATATGGTAGGCCTATGCTATACTATTTTATCGCGGGAATCAAACACGAACGCTGTGTTTTTTAAGTAATAATTGGGTCACGCTTCCTACGCAATCAAAAATACACACCATCTGTTATTATTATGAACTTAATTATTTGCCGTATCATTAATTTATAAAATCAAGATTATCATATTTTAAGTATTGATTACGATCGGCACTGATGTCACGTGTATGTATGTTTATATTAGTTCTTGGGGTAATGAATGATACATCAAAGCGATAGCTTCTTAACTTTTTGTCAACAGTCGGAAATCATGTGACATTCTCCCGCCATTTCTAGAACTATTGTTAAAAATAAAACATCTAATGGGAACTTGTTTGTTGGTAATATTATTAATGAATAGAGTATGATCTATATTATGAGTTATTATTTGTTGATACAAATTATGTAGCCTAGCATAACAATACCAGTCACTAAATTATTGGCTAATACACTATCCCTCCCACCCACCCCAAAAAAACAACAACTATATTTACATTACATGTATACATGTCTGTAAAACATGCACATCTATGTGTACATACATGTACTAACAGAGGCTATTAAAGGGGTATTATTCAAGAGCTAGGTATGCCTATTGCAGTCTTACTTTACATGTTCTATTAAATACATATGCTTGTTTCAGTCACCACCGTTACAAGAGATATCTAACTTCCTTATGAAATCTTTACTCAGTAAGAAAATGTCAAATAAAAATGGTAAGTAAGTTGATACTTTTTTCCACGAAAGTCTGGCTCCACTGCAACTTACATATGGATGAAGGTAAAAAAAAAAAAGAACATCTTGAAAATCTTTTTGTCAGTAACCATCACTCCACAATGCTGAGTAACATCGTCTGCTTGTTTTTTTCTTTATTTAAGAACATAACCCCCATTCAAAATATAATCATAAACACTAGAAAATACCATCAAAATAGAATCTTTTCTCCGACATAGCTCTCGTCAAGATTTTTCACATTTCCATCCTTGTAATTTCATGCATCTTACGGGATTTCTACTTTAGTTTTCAATTAAATTAACCAATCATACCATTTCTACTTTGTTATTTTATTTTATTTTTAGTAACGTTAATCGTATTATAATTGTGATTAAAAACAGAGCCTGCATTGTCTAGTATTTATCGCATATATTGAAATAAAAACTGGTTCAAATGAACCAAGAATAAAACTTGAAATATCACTCCTATTTAGTCCTATATTTATAAACTGATTATTATTTTACATTAATATTATGGGCCACTTTGTCTTGGCATACATCGCCATGGTATTAGACTAGGATAACAGTCCTGTAACTCAATAAAAGATTGCTTCTGTGGAGTTGAAAAACATTTGTTTTATACACCGCTCTGACTAAAATATTGCAGTTTGACTTATACTCCACATCAACTTATAGTGTCAGAGTTACCACAAGCTTGTGCTAGTGTAATTGCAAAGGCAACTATGTCAAATTTGTTATCAACTAAAAGCATTTATTCTGTAATCGGTTTGATAGAGAATGGAGTAAGTTCTCTTTAAAAAAAATTTTGGTGATGAATAAAGAGCATGATGACAGTAAAAGAGATGATGGTGTTGTAATAATAGATGATTCTGATTCAAGTGATGGCATGAGTTTGTTGTATCATTTTATCAACGTCATAGAGAATAAGAAAGAATGCAAATGTAAAAAAATGGATGAAATTTGTCATTCCTAATTGTTCCAGTCAAAAAACAGATTACTCCCTGCATTCTGACAATAAAAACAAAAATTGTCAAAGTTACCCCGACCATGGGGTGACTTTGACATGTAAGCACCAAATAAAAAATAATATTTTTATAAGCCCACATTTTCATGTGTACGTATATTGTTGTTGCCCTTGTCAGTTTGGACGGACGACCACAATTTGTTTGTGGACATGTTACAGGTCACAAATGTTACAGGGAATATAATGGAAGATTATCACATACAAAACACTTAAACTTGCAAGAAAAGTTGCACATGCTACACTTTTTATATGCCCACATTTTCATGTGGACGTATATTGTCGTCGCTCCAGTTCGTCTGTCCACAATTTGTTTATGAACACTCTACGGGTCACAATTCTTATCCGATTTTGACAAAACTTGAAATATAGGCTTATCTCACAAAGATCTCAGTTCCTTTCGAAATTGGCATGTATCGGATCGTAACTTCATGGATTATGGCCCCTGATTGTACGAAAAATCACATTTGTAGCTTGTGGACACTCTAGAGGTCACAATTTTCATCAGGTTTTGATGAAACTTGAAATGCATGTTTATAACCCAAAGATCTTGTTTTTTTTCGATATTTGTGCATATTGAATTGTAACTTCCTGAATTATGGCCCCTGATTATACGAAAAATTGTGTTTTAGCTTGTGGTCCCTCTAGAGGTCACAATATTTATCTGATCTCATAAAAACGTTTATCACTGTTACACCATAATGTCGGTTGAGTTCGGATTTTGTGAAAATCGGACCAAAACTGCCAGACAAAATGGCCGTTCCCTCAGATGCAAATAGTGTAAAAGTATGTAATACCAAGATTGTGGACCATCTAGAGATCACAGTTTTTTTTTTCCGATATTGATGAAACTTGAAAAGTATGTTTATAATCCAAAGATCTTGGTTCCTTTAGATATTTGCGCATATCATACCATAACGTCCTGGATTATGGCCCCCTGATCGTACGAAAAATGGCCTTTTTTTTTTTAGCTTGTTCTCTATCTGTCTCTTGCAACATGAAGGTGTATCGTGCCTGGCAACTTCTGGTTTTCGTTAATGCAGTGAAATAAATACAGGAAATGCATGGGAGTAGTTTACAGGTATTTATTCCATACATTTAATAATCAGAAACATTAGATATCAAAATTTGTGAACTTTTTTCTTCAGTAAGATCAAAGATGTGTCTAAGTTACCCCACTTTACATACATGACGTAACAAGGTGTAGGGTCGCCTGTCCAACTTCGTGGGTTTTCATTGGTAACTATACGCACATGTAAATTATTGAAATAACATTGAATCATGTTAGTCCCAAGATGACTTAGTTTGTGTCAAGTGGAAGTTATTTATTTTACATTTTTCATAAATCTGGTAATTTTGCTATCAGAAATTTTGTAGATATTTACAAATCATAAGTATACTTCTTATATCAATTTTCAGATTTACTTCAGACTACTTGTGATGAATTGAAAAAAATGATAAAACAAAAGTAAGTTTTTAATAACAGACTTGTTCTGCTTATCATACTTCCTAACTCATAAACATAATGAAATGAGTGCTTGTATGAATATTGGATCTAAACTTGACTAATTAAAATGAAATGTATTATTGTCCCCCACCTTTCGAAGAAAGCAGGGGACTATTAAAATGGGTTTGTCCGTCTGTGTGTCTGTCCGTCAACACTTTTTGGGACACAATAACTCTCCTTCTAATTGAGCTAGAAGGTTCAAACTTAGTGTACTTGCTTAGGTAAGCAGAGGTAAGCAGAGGTAAGCAATTTGATTAGTTGATACTTTGGGACACGATAACTTTAGTTGTAGTTAAGTGAGAGTGATGAAACTTGGTGTTTTGTTTCATTACATCAATATCTTGACTAAGTTCGATAATGAGTATTTTCTGCTCCGGGTAAGCAGAGCGATGAGCAATGTAATTGGCCGAGACTTTGGAACACAATAACTCTCTTCTAATTGAGCTAGAATGTTCAAACTTGGAGTAGATGTTTATTAGGTCAATGCCTTAATGGAGTTCGAAGATTAGCATTTTCTGCTTAGGATAAGCAGAGATAAGCAATTTGATTGGTTGATGCTTTGGGACACAATAACTTTAGTACTAATTAAGTGAGAGTGATGAAATTTGGTGTATAGTTTTATTACATCAATACCTTGACTAAGTTCGATAATAAGCATTTTCTGCTCTGGGTAAGGAGAGTGATAAGGAATTTGATTGGTCAAGACTTTGGGACACAATAACTCTCATTCTAATTGAGCTAGAATGTTCACACTTGGCATAGGTGTTTATTAGGTGAATGCCTTGATGGAGTTCGAAGATGAGAATTTTCTGCTTAGGGTAAGCAGAGATAAGCAATTTGATTTACTGTTGTTTTGGAACACAATAACTTTAGGTCTAATTAAGTGAGAGTGAGGACACTTGGTGTATAGTTTTATCACATCAATACCTTGAATAAGTTTGATAATGAGCATTTTCTGCTCAGGATAAGCAGAACGATAAGCAATTTGATTGGTCGATAAGAAGAGATAAGCAATATCTGATTGGTTGATGCCTTTGGGCACGATAACTTTGGTTTTAATTAAGTGAGAGTGATGAAACTCCGAGTATAGATTCATTATATCATTACTTTGATTAAGTTTGATGATGAGAATTTTCTGCTTAGGCTTAGGAGCGATAAGCAATTTGATTGGTCAAGACTTTGGAACATAACAACTCTGCTTTTAATTGAGGTAGAATGTTTAAACTTGATGTAGATGTTCATTAGCTAAGCAATTTCATTGGTCGATACTTTGGGACAAGATAACTTTGATTCTATCTGATAGAGAGTGATGAAACTTAGTGTATAGTTGATAATCAGTTTGATTGCTTGATAATTTTGATACTTTCGAAAGAAATAAATGTGCGATTAATTAATATGTGTCATCTATTAATTTTGGGATTTCGGCAGGGGACATCAGCCTCACTATTTGCTTTTTTATAGAATTCCACCATCAGCCACACCTATGTCGTGTAGAATATCTACAAGTTCATCATCTCATAATACCAATAGTATACAGAGATCTCTACTAAACAGTTTTATACAGGAAAAAACAGGTAGACTATATTATATAAGTATTTGGTCTTTTAACATTAAAGAAAGTGAGATCAATGTGATATACAGTTGTACCATTGTTAGTATGGTACCCAACATCATTGGCAATGTATTATGAGAGGATCCTTACTTCAGTGTTGGGCATTTTTTTAGGTTTTTTGAAAAAAATCTTGATGTAAATAATATTATAGGTTACCTTTTATTTAATTTCCAAAAGTATGTCAATATTTCCTGGTATTCATTGTAACAATTTATTTGGAAATAAAATCTAGAAAAATAAAGTACTAAATTTGCTGTGTATGTTTAATATTTATGCATCTGGAATTTGATTTATTTATAAAACTTGAGATCAACATTTGACTTTGAGTAATGTATCTTTATTGTAAAATGATCCTGGTTGTCCACCAAAATCTATATAGAATTATGAATGAGTAATACTATACACTGTTACAAATTATTCATAATGTTCTATTTTATTCTCCAGGAAAAGACAGAGAACAGTCAAAAATAATTAAGACCCCCATTTTAATTGAGTTGCCCAAAACAAATGGTGATGTAATAAAGATAGCTAAAGCACAGATGGAGACTGATGTACCTATGTTAAGTAGAACACAATCACCAGTTTCTTCTAAGGACACTGCTTTTGCTAATGCTAAATCTTTGTTACAAATGAATGATGACATGGCCTTCAGTCAAGTAAATAGAGTGACAAATTCTCATGAAATAGGATTAGATTTGATGGATGATGGTTCTAATTCCCATGAAGAACCAGTTAAAGCCATGTCCACTTCTCAATCATTAGGATTTCATAATGTACACACTAATCCTCCTATACTTCTACCAACTGTAGATCACTATTTACAAGATGATAGATCAGTAATTAATATACATGATCATAGACAGAATCTATTAACAGCTTTACACAGAGCATCTAGACCACCATTACGTACAACTGAAGTAAGTCCCTTGTTTAACCACAACAAAGTACTTATGTTGACCAATGGTATTAATACTGTGAACTTTATGGTTGTTTAATATATGGACGCAAAATGTTGTTAACTGTTTCTGTCGTGCTGTTTCTACAAGTCCGAATTCTTGATCGATATTTTATAAATTTACATGGATTGTTACTTGGGTCATAGGAATTATCTGTTGAGTTATTTCCCTGTTTATGTTAAAAGATTGTAATCTTGTGAATCACTTCAGGACAAATGTTACCAAAAATAACCGATAGTGAAGATTTTGATGTGGAAGCCCTGGGACAAAGTATTCATGGAATTTTTTTAAAACAATGTGACCCAATTGAATATCAAAACATTTTTATCTCAAATTTTAAACGCAAATCACAGTTGTTTTCCTGTCAACATTTTTACTGTTATTCTTATAGTTTGTGTAAGTTTTTTTTAATACTCGGTATTGTTCGTTGTGGCAAACTCAAGAATTTTTCAGTTGTCAACCATAGAGTTACCTTTATATGATTGCTTTTTGACTCTTTCAGCTTGTAGATGTTATGAAAAAGTTCATAATGATATTTTTAAAAATGTGGTTGAAATAATTTAAATCTTGCTCAGTTGGCTTTGTTGACATTGATTTAAGAGCCAGTACAGATAATTGGTTGTGGGCATATCAAGGGGCCAGATAATTAAAGTGCAATCTTTGATTGCATTTTGTCGGAAAATATCAAATTTCTCATGGTTTAATCCATGCTAATATGTACTAAGATTGGATATTTAACAGGGGGGTTGGATATAGCACGTGCACGCTGTATCATGACTGTCATTGAGTTACTGTCCAACCTGTGGGTTTTCTCCGGGTCCTCCGGTTTCCTCCCACTGCTAAAGACTCCTACACTCAAGCAAATTAATGAAATAAAATTGAACCATGTGTTAGTCCCGAAATGACCTAGTTGTGTCAAGTGGATGTTAAACTCCATTTCTCTCTCTCTCTCTCTCTGAATATTTAACAGTTAAGAAAACAAAATCATATGTTTACCAAGCTGTAATTCTCACAATGAAATTATAATATTTGATTTCAGGCTGTTATAACAGAATTGCAACCACAGTATATGCCACATTTTCATGGTGATTTTTATAAGGATCCTTTAATTACAAGTGAATCTATATGGCCTTGTAGTTATATTAATCCTGAAAAACAACAAGCACAGGTACTATAATATGACCTATATAAATATTGTATTCTTAATAATACTAAAATGTTACCATTTACAATATAATGTGACTATATTTCAAATGTATTCTGATAAAATAGACCTTCTTTTTGTATCAGTGAAAACATCTTGTGTATACTTTTCATGGTTAATCAGGACTCTTGTTTAGGTCTTATATACCGGTCTTGACAGACTAGCATTGAAACTGACCGGCTTATAAATTTAAATGTCTGTCATTCACATGCTGTACAAACTATTATTGTGTTTTTCTTGTTTATTAACATGAACAGTTACCAGTTATAATAATATTAACAAAAACTAATATTGAAAAACTGTTGTCAGAGCCATTCTGAAAAACATTGTGTTTTCATAGAAATTTTGATGACAATTAATATGATGATTTTGTTATTTCAGACAAGAGGATGTGATATTTTAGATATATTAGATAGTGACAGACAATATAGACATCATCTACATTCTATACCATCTGTTTATATACCAGAAACTAATATTACTTCTCCATCCTGGCATTTTACATCTATGCCACCACCTTCTATTTCGTCATCACCCCCTAAATTATTTCCACGTAGATTATACTGATGATGTTTTAAAATTTCAACTCCTACTTAAATGTGCATTGTGTTATTATTTCCGACCTTTTTGAATAATATGAAAGTGCTTTATTTTGTAGTGTTACACAACTGAAGATGTTTATACCCTTTCACATGTAACATTTGTAATTTGATATTTTTCAATACCCCTTTTGGTGTAATCATTAGACTATCATTATGTTAATTAGGGTTTTAAAAGTTTTAAGCATTATTTGTTTGGTTTTTAAATTTTTTACTTTTATGTTAAGTCATCAAGTAAGTTAAATGTATACTGTCATATAGATAATAGAGACTTTTGGCAAGCGTAACTTCCTGGTCCGTGTAGCTTATCCGTATGGATTATGCGTGTGACGTCCTCAATGTGCATGTATTTCTCACATGTGATACGGCAGCACGTATCGAACAGCTTTCATATGGAAAAGGTCCGTAAAACATTGTCATCTTTTACCATCTTTCTTTGCTACTTTTAGATGCTGAAATGTTGTATCATAGCGTTTTTATGAATCTGTGCGTATCCTAGAACACGAAGGTGTATAGTTGATGTGATTTTAACCATGATAAAGACTGGAATTTTCATACTTTTCTTGTCTGTCTGTCTGTCTGCATGCTGGTTGATCTACGTGCTAAATTTAGGGAGGTGGGACCTTGCAATGATTTTATTCTTCAGTAAAGGAGTATAAACTTTCTGAAATGATACCATAGTGAAACCAAAAATTGCTGTCAAGTCGAAGTCTGTCTACATGCTGGTTGATGTACGTGCTAAATTTAGGGAGGCGGGACGCTGCAATTCTGTAAATGATTTTATTCTATGGTAAAGGGGTATAAACTTTCTGAAATGATACAATAGTGAAACCAAAAATTGCTGCCGAGTCGGAAGTCGAAGATTTTTAATAAGATTCAACATAAAAATTTTTTTTAATAGTTCAGCGACTTTTAAGCGATTTCACTCCCTTCTGGAAATTGTAGGCTGGGCACTCGACTAGTACTGATGGTGATCTTGATAGATATCTGCCATCATACTGTAATAGAACTAAGCTCTGCTCAGCGGTGCATATGTACGCGACGCAAAAATCTGCTAAAACTACATCGACGCAACGTATCACGTATACGTTACGGATACGTGATATAGATGGGAAAAATTCAACTTGCCAAAAGTCTCTAATAATATTTAGTTTCAAACTTGTTTTTCCAATAATAGGCTATTTTCCACAAGTCACTTTTAGTTTTGTTTGCCCTTTACTTTTTAAGATTTTTGCATGTTAATAAGGCTTAAGTTTAATTCTGTCAGATTTTATTAAATGTAATGTTTATTCCCATCATCATATTTAAATATTTTGTTAATAACGAAAGTGATGCCATAAATAACCAAGGCACTGGAAGTTGATTCCTTCATCGTTGGATTCCATTTCTGGTCTCCATATAAATTGTTCCTAGTAATATTTGTAACTGGTAGCTGGTCTAGTTTTCTGTTGTTTTGATTTGTGTTGATAGTTGTCATTTAAAAACTGTGATGTCCTGTTAATTTATTTCCTTAATGTGATACTTTTATAGGATAAAAGAATTGTTGATATGTTGGGAATCTATTGTAAAAATGAAATCATTTTGATTGGAAGTCTGAAAAACTTTAGTTTTGTTTTGTTAATGTTTTGGAATAATATTTTGTTACTGGTTCTTTCAAGAGAGAATAATTTTACTGGAAGATATGAAAGGATAATATTTAAAAATTAAACTGTAATGAAAATCAAACGAAACCGATTGGCATTATGGTATGTAGGTTCAATATTGAATATATAATAGAAGTATTTCAATATATAGAAGTTGAAATGAAATGGGGATTAATGACCTCCTTTTCTGCACCTCCTGGACTAGTGAAGATGGGCTATGAGGAAAATTCCAACTATCAAGTTCTTCTTTTATGCCTATGCAAACGACCAGGCCCAGTTCCCAAGCTTGAAAAGTCGCGAATTTTGCCTGGACAGCAGCAACATGGCCCCCTCTTATTTTGAATTGCTACTGTCAAGAGTTCTTTTCACAAGTACACAGAATCTCAATTTTTCTCCCATCCAAACAACTAGACACTGTACCACCAACAAGGGAAAATCATTGAGGAACTTTCTCATCCAATCTAAAATGGGAGGCAAGACCAAATTTTACATTCAGTTATTCTGTATTTGATTTAATGATCTACTTAGTTTCAGAAAATTTCATGTAAATACGAAAGATCTATAAAACTGACACCCTATTTTTGGGGACAAGTAATTGTAAAAAAAGGTATTTTTTTTCTTGGTCAAATGAACAATCCCATTAAGTTTTCTTAAATCAAAGCAACCTGGGTATAATTCTGCATTTTTATACGCCCACATTTTTTGTGGACGTATATCGTCGTCGCCCTGTCCGTCCGTTGGTCCGTCGTCCACAATTTCTTGTGAACACTCTGAGGCCAAAAGTTATCATCCGATTGTTTTAAAATTGATATACATGTATATTGTTAATATTATTAGTGAGATGAAGAATCCTATTTAATTTCAATAATTTCCGTTTACTATGTCTAGAGTTATGGCCCTTGTTTCACTTTGTTGAACCTTGTGAACGCTCTAACTCCAAAAGTTATCACCCGATCTTTGTGAAATTTATATGCATGATTTAAATTAGTGAAACGAAAAAGCCTATTGAATTTCAGCCATTTACAATAATTACTTCTATGGTTATGGCCCTTGTTTCACTTTGTTCAACCTTGTTAATGCTCGATTAAGTTATCATCCGATATGTATGAAATTTATATGCATCATTTAAATTTGTGAAACGGAGATCTATTGAATTTCAGCAATTTCCGTCAATTATGGCCCTTGTTTTACTTTGTAAACCTTGTGAACATTCGAATGACAAAAGTGATCATCTGATCTGTATGAAATTTATATGCATTATTTAAATTAGTAAAACGAAAAAGCCTGTCAAATTTCAACAATTTCTGTAGACTACTTCAGAGTTGAGGCCCTTGTTTCAGTTTTTAGAACCTTGTGAACCCTCAAACGACAAAAATTATAATCTGATCTGTATGGAACTGTCTTGTAAATGCCCCCAATTAGCTACAAAGGAATAAATATGCAACAACCCTTGTCGACCACTCGGACGATTTAGCTGCTGTGGACGTATGTTTCATTGCCTGGCAACCTATCTTCTTCGATTCTACACCAAAAAGTCAACAAAATTCGCCATGCAAATGGGGGAAAAAGGGAAAGAGAGAGAATGACTAAAAATAACTTTTGCCTACATTCGTGGGTGACGGTGTAGAAATATTTGGTGAGCTGTGTCCCATATAGGGGTGAAACTTCAGGTATCACCAAAAGGCCTTTTTTTTTTTATATGCTTCCCATATGTTCTGAAAACCAACTGGTGAAAGAAAATCAAAATCAAAGAATAACTGCAAAAATGATGGCCCTTTAAGTATATATGCTGCTCTATGTACAGCCGTGCATCTCAGGTCCATGGGCCTTTTGTGCTAAAATTTAAAAATCTTTCTTTTAAAGTCAGTATTTGAGTTCTGTGAAAAAGTTAGACAAGTTACAAACAAATTACACAGAAAACACTCATAATCTGGAATTTTTTTCAAAAATATAATTTTTTACAGCCATGTTATGAAAAATGTACAAAATTTATATGTAGCATCTTTCAAAAAAACAATAATTTTCCACTTTTCAGATAGCCAGAGTGGCAAGGAATATATTTGTAGAAACCCTGGACAAATGCCGTATTTGGTCTATGATCACCCCTCTGTAACAATAGGGTCACAGTACCCATTTTTCACAAATTTGGAAATATTTTAATGTTTTCAAAGCTCAGAGGCATCATACAAATCTTTATTGCAATTCTTGTGCTGAAAAAATGAAGTCAAAAAAGTAATTATGACAGAGTTGACAACATAAAGGAGGCCTGAAAAGGAGCAAAATAAACATTTTACTGTTCTATAAGTAACATAAATGCAACAAACACCACAAATCCTAGATTTTGATAAGAAAATATTGAACATTAACCTGACATTTACACATCTACACCAGTTTTATATAAGGGTGTGGTCTCATTCGCCTGACATGTCTCAGGGTTCTAAGTTTGACTTTAAACAAAAAGGGTTAGAAATCCTTGAAATGTACAAAATAACTATTTATTGGTGAAAAATAACATTCGTAGCTGTAATTCAACCACAAATTCCAATTACTATCATTTAATTGTCAACACAGGTGCAATTTAATCTCTCAAAACAAATAAATAAAAAAGTGTGGGGTGGGGCTTTAATAGCCTCTCTTAATGGAAAGACAGAGTGAAAAATGTCTAGAAAGACTGGAATATTGCTTTCTACATGCAAGAAGATAAAAATGCTTGTTCTGGGTAAAATAGTGGCAAAATTGAGCCAACCCCAGTTTTGAACATTTTGTACAAACCCATCTGCTGTACATTATTAACTCGGTGTTGCCAATTTTCATTTTTCTGTAGAAAAGCTGGAGCTATTTCTAAACATGACAAAAGTATAGATCCCATCTAAGTTATATTAGCAATGAAAATAAGGGAATTTTTAGACATTTTGATTCATTTGAGTAGTCATGAAAGGCTTAATTTCTACATCGAAATGGGAAAATCTGGAAATTTTTTGTGAATATCCCTGATTTTTAGACAAAATTTGGTGAAATTACAATACCAATATTGGACATTAAAACATTTTTTCTTACTGTTAGAAATTAAATAAAAACTGAATTTTATTATTTTGTTTTTTAGTTTTTCTGTAGTCAAAATATTTTATACATATTTTCTCAGAATTTAATTTTATATATTTTCAAAACTAAGGCATATCAGTCACAGGATTGAGTTCGGATTTTAAAAACCGTTTAAATACATCACCATTCCACCATAATGAATGTTGAATTTGAATTTCGGAAATGAAACTACTCGACAAAATGTCCGTTCTTTGTACGCAATTTTTATCCGATTTTGATGAAACTTAAAACATGTCTTTATATTCCAAAGACCTCAGTCCCTTTTGATATTTGCGCATTTCAGACCATAACTTTCTGGATTATTGCTCCTGATTGTACAAAAAATCGTGTTTGTTTTTAGCTTGTTCTCTATCCATCTCTTGCAAAATGTGGGCGTATCCTGCCTGGCAGCCGCTGGTTATGAAAGTCGGCGTATATAGCTGTTGTCCCATACAGTCCTCGCAGTGTTTCATTTGATTAGAGCTAATCCCACTTAACACTGCTGTAATGAAAGCAAATTTCTGTTCCAAATTATGACCGGTCAATAGTCCGATTAACAACCAATAGCTAACTGCGTAACAATATCATTACGCTTTAAACAGAGCTCCATGTTGCTGTACTTGGGATTGATTTAATTGAGCGGGAAGAATAGACACACTCCCTCAAAAGCTCAAGTATCAGAAGCCAATCCAGCAATGGCCAGGGAGGGATTTCTCGGGCCATTGCTTCAGGAATATGCTGTCGCCCGTCTGTGTGTGTGTGTGGTTCGCCTACAGACCGAAATTCTTAACTGATCATCTTGAAACTTTAGATACTTATTCCTTATACCCTAAGGATGATCCCTTTTGTTTTTGGTGTATGCCCGACCCCTTAGGGAAGGGCATGCCCATTTCTTGTATTTGTTTGTCATCTACATGCCACATTTCTTAACATATCACCTTGAAACTGTGCATACTTATTCCTTATGCCCTAAGGAACATCCCTATAGTTTGTAGTGTATGTCCAACCCCAGGGGCAGAGCCAGGCTCATTTTCTTTTTGTGTTTGTGTGTCGACTACAGGCCGCAATTCTTAATCGATTGTCTTGACAACTTTTCATACTTATTTCTTATGCCCTAAGGAACATCCCTATAGTTTGTGGTGCATGCCCAACCCCCAGGGGAAGAGCCACGCCCATTTTCTTTTTGTGTCTGTGTGTCTCCTACAGGCCGCAATTCTTAATTGATTGTCTTGACAACTTTTCATACTTATTCCTTATGCCCTAAGGATGACCTCTATTATTTTTGGTGCATGCCCGACCTCCTGGAACAGAGCCATGCCCAATTTTTGTGTGTGTCTTTTAGTTTTGCCTCCAGACCACAATTAATAACATTTGACACTTTGCATTCCAATTCCTTATACCGTAAGGCTGATCCATATTGTTTTTTGGTGAATGCCTGACCCCCAGGGACAGAGCCACACCCTTGTTTTTTTTTTTGTGTCTGTGTATGGCCTACAGGCCACAATTCTTAATAGATCATCTTGGAACTTGGTATATATATTCCTTACAGTCTATTGATTTTGGTGCATGTTCCGAAGCCTAGGGGCAGAGCCACGCCCAATTTTTGTGTTTATCGCATACAGGTCGCAATTCTGAATAGATCAGCTTGGAACTTGGCATATGTATTCCTGATAGCCTAAGGATGCCAATTATTGATTTTGGTGCTTGTCCCAACCCCCAGAGGCAGAGCCACGCTAATTTGTGTTTAGCGCCCGAAGGCCACAATTCTGAATGGGTTATCTTGGAACTTGGTATACTTATTCCTTATACCCTAAGGACGACAACTATTGATTTTGGGGCATGAGTCCATGGCCAATTTTTGTGCTTTTATATTGTTGTTGCCACCGTCTCCACATTTGCTTGTGGACGCTCTAGAGGCTAAAGTTGATTTTCAACAATTTCTGATAACTGCCAGAGTTATGGCCCTTTGAAAAATCTTGTGGACATTTTAGAGGCTAAAGTTAATATCTGATTGACTTTAAATTTATACACAGTATTTAAGTCAATGAGACGAAGAAGACTATTGATTTTCACCGATTTCTGATAATTACTGCCAGAGTTATGTCCAATAATTACTGCCAGAGTTACGGCCCTTGATAATCTTGT